CAGCACTGCAAGTGAAAAACGAGGGCTTCTTGCAGTTATTGCAGCGCCCCATCCCAGGCGTTTGGCTCTTGTGTTTTCCCACGTGTCCCACGTGTGGGGCGGGTGTCGCTGGGGGGTTTCCTGCTGTCGGGTGCTGGGGTGGCCCCGCTGGGGAGGGAGGTGCCACCGTCCCCTCCCATGGCGGGCGCGCTCCGGCGGAGGAAGCGGATACTGCAGTGGGAGGAGGGAACGTCCTGTGGGTGCCACAGGTGCTGCCCCGGGGAGCCCTGACCGGGGACCCTGCCTGGTTTCGGCACCCAGAGCCCAGGGGAAGGAGCAGGGAGGGGCAACGCCGGTGTGACTGGGGAAGGGGGGACAGCTCCTGCTCCCACGCTGCCTTGTGCTGTCGCAGGGGGCCGTGAGTGGAGCTCGTGCCTGCAGGGGTCTGTCCGGGGTGTTGGGGCCTGGCCTGGTGCCCCTGTGCCTTTGCCATGGGGGTGTTGGGCTGCAGGACCAGTTTCCGGCACCGTGACCTTCGCTGCCCTCTCTGACCTCTGCGATCCTGCGCCTCCTCCCTTGGTGGCTGCCGGGGAAGCTCTTGGGCCCGAGGGTGACAATCCTGCCTGGGGTGGCCCCCGCGCCCCTGGAGCCAGCCCTGCCCCTGCAGACCATGTGGTTTGTCACGGTGAGTCGCTCTGTTGGCTCCTGCCACCGCAGGAGGTGACAGCACCCCGGTGTCCCCTCCGGGTGCCCTCCTGGGGTGCCCGGCGTGGGAAGGGTTAAGGAGGGAAGGCTTCCCCTGCCAGGGGTGTTGCTGGGAACAGGCAGCGAGGAGAGGCTGCCATCTGCACATTGCGATTTGGTGAGTGTGCAGGGGAGGGGCCCTGCCCTGGCCCCTGGGGTGCTGGGGCCCCCCTGTTTCCCTGGGAGAGGTGGGGGCTCCGCTGTGGCACCGGGTGGGAGGTGGGGGGCCCTCAAAATCCCCCAGGAGTTGGTGTTGCCTTGGTCTGACCGTCTGCTCCACGTGTCCATGTCCCTCCACCGTGGGAGATGAACCTGACTCAGCCCCAGCGGGCACTGGAGTGGGGGTCGTGCCCTCCCCGTGCCCTCCCCGTGCCTTCCCTGTGCCCCCCACACCTTTGAGGGCAGCGTGTCTGAGGTTTTCACCTGTTGAAACCCTGCAGTTGTGCTGGGCAGAGGTGCCAGCGCAGACCCCCCAGTGCAGGGGGCCCCACATGTCCCCTGGCGTGTCCCTCCCCACTGCAGCCCAGGTCTCTTCCCCTCCCCAAACACCTTCCCCTGATGGCAGCACCTCACGTGTCTCTCCCAGTGATGCTCTCAGCAGATGCAGCCATTCCAGCAGCTTTTTGCCTTCCAGCCTTGCTCCCACGTGGGACTGTGGCTCCCAGCAGCCCACGGTGGGTGCTGAGTGCTGGTGGGGTTCACGAGGTGGGAGGGTGAGCCAGAGGAGCTGTGCAGTTTCTCCTGGGACATATCCCAGAGAGCAGGCAGGGGAAGGTGGTTTAGGCCCGTTTTTCTGCTTTAATTGGCTGGTTTGGCTTTTGGAACCCACGTGTCCATCTGGAGAGTGGGTCTGTCCATGCTGTGTGCTCTGGGGCTCAGTGCAGCCTCTCTCATTCCACTGGGGATGCAGCTCAGCTTTTCAATTCCCAAAGAGAAAAATCTTAAACCCGAGCCAAGAAGGGTAATTTTGGGGGAGTTGAGGTTTTTTTTTCTTTTCATCCCCACTTGGCAACATAAACAGCATCCCTGACAGCTTTACATTGAGTTTGCCATGGCAACCTACAGCAGCCAAGTGTTTCCAACACCCCATTCCCAAAGTGGGAGAGCAGATGAACCCCAGTGGGTGCTGCTGAAGGGCAGTGTGTGGGGCTGGGGTGCTGGTGGCAGGGGTCAGGTCCTTGGAGAAGGTGATCCACCGTGATCCACATGACCTGAGGTTTGTTTGCTCATGGACCTGCTCCTGCTTGTCCAAGCTGGGGTTCGTGGCTCTGGGCAGGGGATGTGGTGGCTGCTCTTGCTCTTCCTCAGCACGGTGCTCTCTGCCCTGGATGGTGGGAGATGTTCAGGCTGGAGAAGAGCTGAGCTGGGGCAGGGATTTCATCCTCATTCATGGATAAAGGAAAACAACAGCTGAGTTTGGTCAGGGCTTGCTCCATCTCTGGTCATCTGCAGGGAGGACAGAGCAGTGCCAGGGTCTGCTCCGATGTGCTGAGGATCCATGAGGATCCATGGCCTTGCCCAGGGACCCAGTGGTGGCTGCTGCTGGCATGTGCCAGCTCCTGGTGCCACCGGTGTCGCAGCGAGGCCACTCGTGGCTTGGCTGAAGGCATCACGTGTGACACGTCCAGCTGATTTAATTATTCCTGTCCCTCTCTGAGCACTTTCCTCTTCCCGAGCTTAAAAGCCAGCGGGTCCCTTTCCCTGTGCCAGCAGGTCCCTTTCCCTGTGCCAGGGGCCGGGGTGGGCACGGGGGATGCTCTGGTGCCGGCTCTGGCCGTGGCTGCTCTCCCTGCCAGGACGGAGGTGTCGTGCAGCCGTTTATTATTCCGGGCAGGTTCGCCTGCAGCACGGCATCGGCTCCGGCATCGGCTCCGGCTCTGCCGCTCCTCGCCAGCCGCTCCCTCCTGCCCGGAGCTCGCGCCTCCCCCAGCCCACACCCCGGCCCGTGGCTCCAGACTGTCCGTGTCCCTCATCCCAAACTCCACAGCAGCCCTTGTCCTGCCCAGGGGTGTCATTGGGAGCTCCAGTGGCAGCTCCAGGGGTGGTCCCGTGTCCGCACAGGGCGCTCGGGCTCCCGCTCCTTGTTTTCTTCCCAAGGAGGCCCTCGGGGAGCACTTGTTCCTCTCCAGTGCCTGGGGGCTCTGGAAGTGAATTACTGGAGTGAAGGGCAGCCTGCTGAACGCTGCTGGAGTCATTAGGAGCTCGTTAGGATGATGGCTCTTAGGGAAGCCTGAGTGCAGCTCTCTGGACCGATCCTTCCCAGTTTGGCCAAGGAACGCAGGAGCCTGTGCTGGACTGGTGGGATGGGGCAGAGACAGGCCAGGAATGGGTCTGTGACCCCGGATGGGCTGGAGGAGGGTGCTCAGAGCAGACACAGGAGTCTTTCCCCCACCACAGCCCTTCCTTTCCTGAGGGGCAGAGCCAGTCCTGGGGCGGGAGCCGTGGGTGGGACACGGGCTGGTGCTGATGGTGCCGTGAGCTCCTCCAGGGGTAATTATGGACTAGGCCGTTACAGGATTAATTAACCGTCTTTCTCTTAACCTCTGAGCTCTCCTCAGACAGCGTTGGTTGCTACGAAAGAGGAAAAAATTAGCGTGTTGGGGTGAGGGAATTATCTTTTTTTCTCTTAATCAGCAGGAGTCTGCTTAATTGGGCCTGCCACCTCCTGCTTCCCGCTGCTGGGAGCCAGCACGCCTTTAAATGATGGATGAGCTCAGCTCCACGAGGAGCTGTGGGGTAACCAGGCTGGGAATGGGCAGGGATGCTGGGGTGGGAATGCTGGAGTTGATCTCTGCTTTATGGGGCAGCAGCAATGCTCTGCCCCAAGGGTGCAGGTTTGGGTGTCCCTGGAGCCGCAGTGCTCCCCATCCCTGAGCTCCTTGTGCTCCCAGTCCCTTCGGTGCCTGCAGCTGGGGGACAGGACCCTCCTGTGCAGTGGCATTGCTCGTGTCCCTGGGGTTCAGTTGGTGCCTGTTCTGTCCTGATAATGCCCAGAGCTGCCCTGGGTGTTGCTGTCAGGGAGCTCTCCCAGGGGCCAGGCAGGGAGGGGTTTGCTCTCTGGGCTCTGGTGTGACTGCAGCTGGGGTCCCGTGCTGTGGGGTGAGCTGGGACAGCCCCAGGGTGTGGTGCCTGCCTGTTGGATTTGTGAGGGCTAGTGCATCCCATGTGCCCCTGGGAAGCAGGGATAGATGTCCTTCCACCTTCCTCCCATTCTCGTCTGGCTGCTTTTCTTCCCCGTTCGCTTGCTCTGCCACCTCCTGACCCTGTCTCAGGCTGCTGCTGCTGCTGTAGTGGCCGTTCCTTTTGTTATTCATTTATATTGCTCTAGGAAAGACTTCATTTTCTCTGCATAAGAGCCTCCCTTGCAGGCTCTTTGCCTTTGGAGTGCCAGGAGCATCGCTGCTGGCACTGGAGCTTGGGTACAGAGCTGGAGGGCACCCTGGGTGACAAACAACACTTTTCCCCTCTGGCCTGTGCTGCTCTGCCTGCTCCCTCCATGTCCCTATTTGTCCCTAGCCCCCATCCTCTCTGTCTGGAATGCCAGCGGGGGACCCCAGATCCCTGGGGAACGTGGGAGCCGCTGGATGCTGTGCCTGCCTGGCCACAGCGCTTGGTTCAGGCATTTTTGGGACTCCTCTGTCCTCGCTGGCAGGGCTGGGGTGTTGTAACCTGGCTGGCAGGTGCTGAGAGCCGAGGCCAAGAGCCACTCGCTGCCTTCGAGGGCTTCTCTGAGAGGGTCATTGATGGAAAAGCCTCTGTTTTAGAGGAACTCACAGATTTTAGTGGCTTCCCTGGTCCCTGTGGTGTCTCTCAGCTGGTTCAAAGCCTGCTGGGTGCAGTGACCACTCTCCATGGGTGTGGGATGCTCCCTCACCTGCTGGCAGGGCGGAGGGCGGCGCTCCAGCCCCGGCGCCTGCCCGCGCAGGAAGCAGCTGTTTTCCACTGCCGAGGTGTATTTTTAACCCAGAGTGAATGGGACATTTTTCTGGGCCGGGCAGCTGGGTTTGAGTGAAGAACCACCTGGGCGCCCTTCCTGCCCGGCCCCGGTGCTGCCGCTGCCGGTTTTCCCCGCGGCGTGTCCGCGCCGAGCCTGCAGCTCCCTCCCGGGCCAGCTCCTCACCCCCGGGCTTTCGGGTCGAAATCATGGTGAAACCACGTTACCCCTGGCAGGTGCCCAGCCCGGGGTGCCACCGCCCCTGCTCTCCCACCCCGTGCACTGGTCCTCGGGCCTCCTTCACGCCGGTGTTTCTGTTTCCCCCCATCCCTTGTTTTCGCAGCTCCAGTTGCTGTGGTATCCAGGGAGCCCTCCTCCTCCTGCAGGAGATGCACGCTGGTCGTTGCTAAGGTCGCCTCCGCGGTAACATGCACATCCTGTTTACACCTCTATCCGGAGAAGTTGGGCTCGGTTAGAGGCACCTGCTCCCCCAGGGAAGGGGCCGCACGGAGCGTCCCCCCCCCGCCGGACCCTTGAGGGAGCCGCGAGCCGGCGTCGGCATCACCGGCACCATGACGAACAACGTGGCCGACCACCACCCCGGCAACTCGGTCGCCGAAGGCAACCATGAGGGGGACTTCGGGTGCTCCATGGTGGAGCTCAGGAACCTCATGGAGCTGCGGAGCGCCGAGGCGGTGGCCCGGCTCAACGACTCCTACGGCGGCGTGCAGAACGTCTGCAAGAGGCTCAAGACGTCGCCCGTCGAAGGTGAGTGGCCGCCCCGTTGGCCTTGCCAGGTGGGTTGTCGCCTCTGGAGGGTGGTGGCTCCGAGGCGTGTCCCGTGGCCGAGCTCAGCCGGCGCGCCCGCTGTCCATCGCGGGAGACGCTCCTCGCGTCTCGTAAAATGGTCATTTAGGGCAGAAAAGGAGGGAGAAGAAAGAGAAGCATCATGTCAGGGGGTTCCCCGGGGCGTAGCCCGGAGCCCCACGTCCCCTGGGAGGATGGAGCGGAGGCAGGATGAGCTCAGGGCTATCAGAGGGGCACGGGGGGCTCACAGCCACAGCCCAGCCACTGCTCTGTGCCAGCCTTTCCCATTTAATAATTTACAGAGCCAGTGCCAGGGCTGGGAGGGAGAGTGTAAAGGTTGGATGGTGCTGGGGAGGTGGCTGGAGCTGTTTGAGGCATCTCAGATGAGGGATGGGCAGCACATCCCCCAGGGGTGTGGGGAGAGGCACCCAGGTCACCCCTGATCTGAGGGGATCGCAAGGGAAAAGCTGGTTGGTGCCTCTGGGCATCACAGTTTGGAGTGGTGGTGGCAGTGACGCCTGTGGGTGCCTGGTCACCTCTGGGAGGCTTTGTGGAAGGGTATCAGGATGTCACCTCTCCTTCCCACGGGCTGGGCTGGCTTTTGGGGTCCCCCTTATTGGTGAGGCTGCTGGCACTGGGGAGCTGCGGGTGCCTTTGTGTGGTGATGGACCCCTTCCCTGGCATTAAAGGGGTACTGGGGTGAGAGACCCCCTGATTACAGCACTGAGGGTTTACCTGGAGCTGGGAGCAGGGTGTGGGGTGGGGGACGTGGCTGCGCCTCAGCTCTGAAAACTTGTGGGTTATTCTTAGTGCTGAGAGGTGGGGATTAGTGCGTTTCCAGCTGTGAGTGGGACCGGGAAGGGGAGACAATATCGGGATGTCATTAGAGAAGGGGGGGGAGTCCCGGTGGAAATACCAAGTCCAGGTCACAAAACAATGTGTTTGGTCCTGCCAAAGTGGGAACACGCTCCTTTGGGGGCGGGAGGAGAGGGGAGGGGGGAAGCAGACCCCAAAGGCTCTCTTGAGGGGAGGTGAAGGGCTGCCCTTCCATCCTGGGTGCCACTGGTTGTCAGTGCTGGATCTCATGTCTCCAGCACATCCCTCCCTCACCCTCTTGCTCTGCAGCTGAGCTTTGCTGCCTGTCCCAAACCCCATCCTGTTGAGCCCAGAGAGCACAGAAAGGTTATTTCCAACAAGCTGGGATTTTTGGGAAGAGCAAAAGCCTGAGGCAGCTGTGTCTGATCCCATGGGATCAGACTGTGCAGTGAGGGTCTCCCCAGCATCGGGATGGGGATCTGCTGGGTCTCTGGCTCTCCCCCCAAGAGCTGTCAGTGCACCCCAATCCCTTGGGGCTGCTCCCAGAGGGGCTTTGGGATGGAGTGGGGTGTCTCTCTGCCAGGCACTGGCTTTCCACCTCCACATCCCCCTGTCCCCCAGCGGGGCGGTGGCTCAGTGAGTCACCCGTGGAGCATCCCCAGTGTCCCTGGGTGCCCAGTGCCAGCACACAGTGCCCTGACTCACCCGCTGGCAGGAGCAGCTCCCGGGGCTGCCGCCTCCTTCCCGATCCAGAGTGAGGATCCTGCGTGGGGGCTCCTTGTGCCAAGGCTTTGCCACCCAGCAGCAGCTTTCCTGGGATTATCAGGGACTGGTGACCGTTATGGGGGTTTGTTCTCTGCTGTCACTTGTGGCCTCTACCCAAAATTTCCAACTCAACGCCCACTAACTGGACCCTCAGGCCCTGCAGGGGGATTTGCTGCTGCTCTTTGCCCCCCTCCCTGTGTCAGCACAGACATTGACCCCCAGGAGGGTGGGGGGCAGCCCTGGGGTCAGGCCCATGGGTGGGATGTGCTTTGGAGGAGCCAAAGTCTGCAACCTGCGTGTGCTCCTGGAGCAGCACGTGTGTGCCCGTGGCACAGCCCTGGCTCCACGGCAGTTTAGCCACATTTTCCATCCGTTCCGCCGGAGACGCTGGGCGGGAATTGGGGCCGGGAGATCCCAGGATCCTGCTGCCTCGTCAGGGCTGGGTGGGGCCGCGGGGGCCGCTCTGCCAGCGCGTCCCCTCCCTGCAGCTGGGGTGGAGTCGCAGCGCAAAGGGGGGGTGCAGGGGGGGTGTGGGAACGGGATTCGTCCTGCTGCTTCCTCCTGGTTGGAATGGCACGGAGCTGGCGGGGAGGGTGTCCCCTGGGATGACACGGAGTTGGCAGGGAGGTGTCCCCTGGAATGACACGGAGCTGGCGGGGAGGTGTCCCCTGAGCACAAGGGCTGGGTCCCCCCGGGGGGGCATCACTGCCAGGCTGCTCCAGGCACCGGGATGTGTCCAGGGGCCACTTACGCCGCTTCCCGGTGCATCCCGGGAGCTGGCAGCAACCCCACGGGCCATCTTAAGGTGGAGGAGAAATGGGGGGCTCGGTTAAGGTGGTGCTGGGCAGGAGGGCTTCTCTCACCTGGGACCCCATCAGCTCTTAGTGGCTGTAATGGGGGGCAGCCAGGGCACGTTGTGTCTCCCACCACTGGCTCATGGCCTGGGTGGGAAGGCTCTGAAGGGGCTCAGGCTCCCCTTTTGCTCCCCATTTGCTCCCCTTTTGCCCTCATCTGCTCCCCCCCTCTCTCAAGGGTTGCTCCCAGCCGTGGGGAGCAGCACCCCAGCTCGGGGCTGGCCTGCTCCTTCCCTCTCTCCCACCACCCCATTCCAGCAGGACCAGTCCTTGTCTCCTCCACCAGCTGCGGGCAGGACCAGCTTGGCCGTGGCCATGGCGTGGCCGTGGGGCTGAGCTGAGCTCGGAGACACTCCTGCTGTGCCCGCTCGCTCTCCGCAGCCGCTGCTCCTCGGAGCTGGCAGGACACAGGGATCCGGTGGCTCCGGCGGCTCCGAGCGCCGCTCCCGGTGCCAGATTTACGGCTAATTTGATGCAGCATGTAAACAAGCTGGCCAGTGCCAACTGGCATCGGCTGACACTTGAGGCTGCAGCACTGGGAGGGTGGCTGGGCGTGCTCGCCCGGCCCCCGCGTGTCCCCTGCCCCCGTGGGTGACAGGGGCAAAGCCCTGCCTTGGCTCCCTGCTGCTGGCACCTCCTGCCCCCCGTGCTGGCACTGGTGCTGCTGGGGAGCTGTGGGGCAGCCGTGGGGTTTGCCCTCATCCCTGTCTCTCCCCCTTCCAGGCCTGTCCGGGAACCCGACCGACCTGGAGAAGAGGCGGCAGGTCTTCGGCCAGAACTTCATTCCTCCCAAAAAGGCCAAGACGTTCCTGCAGTTAGTGTGGGAGGCACTCCAGGACGTCACGCTGATCATCTTGGAAATCGCAGCCATAATCTCCTTGGGCCTGTCCTTCTACCACCCCCCGGGTGGGGACAATGAACGTGAGTGCCCGGGGTCCCTGTGCTTTGGTGGGGGACTCCCGGGAGCCGCCGTGCCCAGCCCTGTGGGAGCAGGGATTTGGGACAGGTGATGTCTCTGGAAGCTCGTGCAGATGGAGCTACATCTGCTCACCCTTTTTAGGTGGTGGCATCTCCCCATCCTTGGGGTCTTTGGTGTGGCCCTCCCCAGGGACCTGCACTGTTGTCTGGGCACCACGGGCTCAGAGCTGCTCCTTGCTGCTCCCCAAAAGATGCTCCAAATCCAATGGGTCCGTCTGATCCAGTGGCTTCCCACGTCCCACAGGGCTTCTTTTTTGCTTTGGGGAGGGAGGGACAAGGCTCTCTGTCTCCTGGAATGTCCCCCTGCCCAGGGAGTGCTGTGACACCCCATGGGTGGCTGAGGACTGTGCTGGGCGGGTTTCTCCTCCTGGCCCTGGATCTCGGTGTTGTTGGAGGAGTCGAGCAGGCACAGGGCTCTGGAGATGCAGGGAGATGTGAGACACAGGGAGATGTGACTCACTCGAGGGTCACGCAGCGCAGGGAGGGCTGGGTGCTGCAGCTGGAAATAGAAATAGAAGCCAGTTGTCCCAGCTCAGCCCAACTTCTGCCAAAAAGGAAAAGTGATAAAAGAGGGGGGAAAAAAAAAAAAAGCAAACCCAACAAATTCCTCGAGGGATGTAAAAACCGTCTCCTGAGAGCAGGGGAAGCCCAGGCAGCTCAGGGAGGAGGAGGGAGGAGTAACTGTTTTCCAGGCTCAGCGTGACTCTAGGCGGGTGTCGGTTGTGCAATCAGTGCCTGGGTGTGCAAATGAGTGCCTGGGTGTGCAAGTGAGTGCCTGGGTGTGCAATCAGTGCCTGGGTGTGCAATCAGTGCCTGGGTGTGCAATCAGTGCCTGGGTGTGCAAATGAGTGCCTGGGTGTGCAATCAGTGCCTGGGTGTGCAAATGAGTGCCTGGGTGTGCAATCAGTGCCTGGGTGTGCAATCAGTGCCTGGGTGTGCAAGTGAGTGCCTGGGTGTGCAATCAGTGCCTGGGTGTGCAAGTGAGTGCCTGGGTGTGCAAGTGAGTGCCTGGGTGTGCAAACACATCTGGGTGTGCAAATGAGTGCCTGGGTGTGCAAGTGAGTGTGCCTGGGTGTGCAAACACGTCTGGGTGTGCAAACGAGAGCTCTCCCCCGGGCAGTGTGTGGGCAGTCGACGGGCGGCGTGGAGGACGAGGGCGAGGCGCAGGCCGGCTGGATCGAGGGGGCAGCCATCCTGTTCTCCGTGATCATCGTGGTGCTGGTGACCGCCTTCAACGACTGGAGCAAGGAGAAGCAATTCCGGGGCCTCCAGAGCCGCATCGAGCAGGAGCAGAAGTTCACGGTGATCCGCAAGGGGCAGGTGATCCAGATCCCGGTGGCCGAGATCGTGGTGGGAGACATCGCACAGATCAAGTACGGTGAGTGGGGGGGTCTGCCCTGCCCCTCGGGGGTGGCTGGGGTGTGTCCTCCCCCTCAGGAGCCCAGCTGGAGGCTGTCCCTCCCCCTCAGGAGCCCAGCAATTCCTCCTCTGCTCCTCCAGCCCTTCTGCCCTGAGGGGAAGTGTTGGCTCCTCCTTTCTCTCGTGGTGATGGGAGATGCTCCCTGGAGCTCCACTCACCTTGTCTCTGGCCCGCCTGGGCTTGGGCTGGCAGAGCTAAGCCAGGCTCTGTGCACAGCTCTGGGCTGCTTTAGTGACCTGCTGTTCTCAAAAATGATTCGTTTTCCCAACCATGTCCTTGTTGGTGAACATTTCCTTAGCCAGGAGGTGCTCGTGAATATTTCCTCAGCAGGGAGATGCAGCCTTTGGGATAAATTAGGTCCTGCTCCTTTTTTACCAGGGGGAATATTCACCCCGTGCAGCTCCTGTCAAACATCGAGTTTGTTTTCCCATGGGGTTTTTTCCCCCCTCGGAGGTTGGAAGGTGGGATCCTGTAATGGTTTAGATGTGTCAGGAGCTTTGGGAAGGATCTGGTGTTGATTTATTAAAACTGGATGGGGAAGCACTGTCTGACTGAGTAAAATTCTCATCTTAAAAAACCCACCTGCTGCTTCTCCTCCCTCTAGATTTGGTCTGGGGCTGAATTTTGAGTCCTTTTGAAGCCTCCTCACGGGGTGGGGCAGTCAGGGGTGAGCAGTGGCTGCCCAGACCAGGCTGATCCCCCTCTGTGCTCCTGTCCCAGGTGATCTCTTGCCAGCGGACGGGATCCTGATCCAGGGCAATGACCTGAAAATAGACGAGAGCTCGCTGACTGGGGAGTCAGACCAAGTCAAGAAATCCATGGACAAAGACCCCATGCTGCTCTCAGGTGAGGGTCCCTGTGGGGTGGGTGCAGGGGTGGAGAGGTGGTTGGTCTTGGGTCCTGATGTTAGGGAGGTGTCCAAGGCCAGGTTGGACGGGGCTTGGAGCAGCCTGGTCTAGTGGGAGGTGTCCCTGCCCATGGCAGGGGGTGGAAGGGGATGAGCTTTCAGGTCCCTTCCAACCCAAACTATCCTGTGATTGTGTCAGATGGGAACTGCTGTCCCACCTGTCTCACTGTGACCTTCCTGCTGTGCCAGGTACCCACGTGATGGAGGGCTCTGGCAGGATGGTGGTGACTGCCGTGGGTATCAACTCCCAGACAGGGATCATCTTCACTCTCTTGGGTGCGGGAGAAGGAGACGAGGAGAAGAAAGTGAAGAAAGGTAAGGAGATCCCCTGAACCCACCTTTTCCCTCCTTTGGCCTCTCTCCCTTCCCTGGGAAGTACCACCAGTGTGCCACAAGCAGCTCCCACACCCATGGGCTGCAGTTGTGTGTCAGTGCCTGTGGCCCGGGCACGTATGGTGAGCTCTCGAGGTGGGGGGGTCCCTCCCTGTGCCCCTTCACCCACAGTGTGGGGCTGGTGCTGCCTGAGGAAAGCCCCCTGTGCACCCAGGCTCTGCTTCCTGGCTCTTTTGGACATGGCTCCAGCTCTGTTGTCCCCAGCTGGATCCAGGCTGGAGCTGTGGGCTGGGGGGATTGAGGATCAGAGGGAAGGGTGGCTGGTAGGGCTGCCCACGGTGCTCCTTGCTGGGGAAGGTGAGTCCTGGTTGCCCACAGGGTGTTGGTGGCTCATCCAGAACCTTGAGGACTTGGCTGAGGATCTCTGCTGGCATTCCCTGAGCTCCCTGGGGAAGGAGATGAGGCAGAGGATGGCAGGAGGGAGAGGAGGGGTTGTGTGCTGGGGTGGGAGAGCAGCCAGGCAGGCTGAGGTGTTCCTGATGGTGTTCCTGATGCTTTCCTGCTGCTTATTGCCCTGCTCTGTGCCAGCTCCAGTACCAGCACTGGGACCAGCCAGGCTTGGGAAGCTCCTGTTCTCCCGTGTCCCTGAGCCCCTGCTCGGCAGGTTTGGGCTCACCAGGAGCAGCCATGAGGTAGAAGGAGCTGGCAGGAGGGAGCTGCTGGCTGGCACTGCCAGCTGCTCAGGCATCCCTGTGCCAGGGAGCCCTTCCCGGGAGGCGATGCCAGGCAGGGAGAGGCTTCCCAGGCTCTCCTGGCAGCCTTTCCAGCTCTGGGCTGTGTGTGCTGGGTTCCTCCAGCTCGGATCGCTCGGATCTCTGGCCTTTGGGGGCTGTGGAGCTCCTGGGGCTCAGGTGCCAGCTTGGAGGTGGGAGGAGGAGGTGACATGGGCATGGCACTGCTGTGGGAGCTGAGCAGCAGCTCGCTGGGCACCCAGGCAGCGATGCTTGGTGCTTCCCCAGCCTCCAAGCTCTGTCACTCAGCCCCACAGCAAACCCGGATTTGGGAGCAGAGTGGGCCAGGGGGTCCCCACTGTGGAACTGGGGGATGATGGGGGGACAAAGCCCTTGTCACTCGAGGCTTGTTCAGCTGCAGCCGCCCTGTACTCCCCATTGGGGACCCCCACGTGCACACCTTGCCCACCACAGACCCTGGGGTCAGAACCCCCCGCTGTGGGTCTGGTGCTGCCCTTGGTGGGAGACAAATCCACGGCTCCCATGTGGATCTGCCTGCACCGGGACAGGAGGGGACCTGGAGCTGCAGGGGGTCAAGCTCTGCTGGGGGGTTTCTTCTCCTCAAAGGTCTGAGGCACCTCTGGCACCCTCCGAGGCACTGATGGGGGTTGTGGTGGGTGCTCTGCAGGTGGGGAAGTCTGAGGCCTTGGGTTTGGGGTGCCCGGGGGAGCCGGGGAGCTCCGGAGCCTCCCCAGGGCCGCGAGCTGTGGACCGAGGCACGCGCGGCGTCCGGAGGGCGACCGTGGGCTCTGAGCCCAGGGCACGGATGCCACTGGAGCGGCCCCTCGGAGCAGGGCCCATCCCAGGCTGTCCCCCCAGCCGGATGGTGAGTGTGGGTCCACGTGCTGAGCCCCCCACCCTTTCTCTCTTTGAACAGGTAAAAAAAGCGGAGCCCCCGAAAACCGCAACAAAGGTAACCAGCCTCTCCATCCTTTGAACCAGCACCACACTAACTACTGAGCATTCCTCCTTCCTTCCTTCCTTCCTTCTTCTCATCAGTCTGTGCTCTTTGCTGCTCCGGCGGGACTCTCGCCTCGTTGTCCTGGGAGAGGGTGCAATGGTCCCGTGGCCGGTGGCCCTGGCACGGCGTCGCGGTGCCCCCTGGCACCCCAGCGTGGGGCTGTGCACCCTGGGATGAACCTGACCGGCTCCCCCCATGGCCACGTTGCTCCTGCGTGGGGAAAAACCCTTGTGCAAGGAGGACAGGGCTCTTCCAGCAGCCTGGACCTTTGGCAGAGCATTCCTTTCTCGGGACAAATTTCACATCCTTGAGTTGCATCAGTGATTTGATGGCTCTGAAGCCCCCGGGCCCATCAGATGCTGTCCCTTCCCGGGGTTTGTGTTTGGACATGGCTGGGGGAGAGATGTAGGTCCCTTCCTGGTGTTCCCAGATGAAATGTCCCACGGGGCCTGGCCAATGTGATGGTTGCACCCTCTCCTCCCATGGCCTCGACTCCGTGAGCGTCTCCTCACCAGTGTTTCTCACACTGTTCTTTGCAGGCTGTGGAGGAAGCCCATTTCTGCACCTCTCTCCACCTCTCTCTCTCTCTCTCTCTCTCTCTCCTCTCAGCAGTTTGAGTTTCCCTCCTTCCCGTCAGACTGTGTCCGGGTGCTTGTTCTGTCCGTGTGGGGTCTGTTGTGACGTGGAGGTGTCCGATGTGGAGCTGCCGTGAGCTCCGGGGTGTCTCGAGCCATCGAGCAGCAGCAGCCAGGAGGGGACAGGTCCCGGGGCAGCAATGGGGCCACTGCTGCTCCTCCAGCTCCAGCAGCTGAGGAGGAGCCTCTCAGGGGGATTCCCACCCTCTTCCCGTCCCTCTCCAAAGCTTCCAGACTTGGGTTTCCCCAGTGCAGACTTTCAGCTGGACTAGAGCAATCATAGGCACAGGAAGCCTGGCTGTCTCGGGTCCTAAACGCGTGGTGGATGGCTCAGGGCTGGGATTCGAGGAGCTGGTTCCCTCCTCTTCAGTCTCCATCCGAATTTCTAACCGTCCCCTCCATCTCACCCCCTCAGTCACTTCCCTGGCGAGTGATTCCTGCTGAGCTGCCCACAGGGCACTGCAGAGGTGGCACTGGGAGGGAGTGGGGATGATCATCAAGGGACTGGGGGGACTGGAGCATCTCTGGGGTCAGCCCAAAGCGCTCCCAGTCTGCTGCAGGGTTAGAGGCTGGATGAATCCAGTCTCCACCCCAAAACCTGGCCAGAGGGTTTCTTGCAGAGCTGCCTTAGAGTTGTGACCAGTGCCAGTGTCACCTCTGAGGATCCCTTATCCATGGGCTGTGTAGATGACACAAAACTGCCCCATAGAGAGGTGGCAGGGCCCTGGGACACGGAGATTCCATGTGCTCGGATGCGTGTGTCGCCGGGAATGGTTCTTGGTCTGGGTTCTCTCTCTCTCTCCCACCACCATCTTTCTCAGTGGTGTCCTCCAGGGTTTCCTGGTCTCTCTCCTATTCACACGTGGTGTCTTATTTTGCCCTTGGGCTGTAGCTAAAACTCAGGATGGTGTGGCCTTAGAAATTCAGCCCCTGAAGAGCCAGGAAGGGGTGGAAAATGAGGAGAAGGAGAAGAAGAAGGTGAAGGTGCCCAAGAAGGAGAAGTCTGTGCTGCAAGGGAAGCTCACGCGCCTGGCGGTGCAGATCGGGAAGGCAGGTGAGTGGCGATGGCCTGGCACGAGCCACCACCCCAGAGCTGGTGGAGAAGGGCTGTCCCTGTCTCCTGTGTCCCCTGTGTCCCCTCACTCTGCCCCGTGTGTCCCCAGGGCTGATCATGTCAGCCATCACCGTCATCATCCTGGTGCTGTACTTCGTGATCGACACGTTCGGGGTGCAGAAGCGGCCCTGGCTGGCCGAGTGCACCCCCATCTACATCCAGTACTTCGTCAAGTTCTTCATCATCGGGGTCACCGTGCTGGTGGTGGCCGTGCCCGAGGGGCTCCCGCTGGCCGTCACCATCTCCCTGGCCTACTCTGTGAAGGTGAGGCCGCGGCGCCGCGGGGTCGCCGGGGGTGCGACGGGGGACCTCGGGCTGCCGGCTCTGACCTTCCCGCTCGTGGGTGCTCCTTGCAGAAAATGATGAAGGACAACAACCTGGTGAGGCACTTGGACGCGTGCGAGACCATGGGCAACGCCACGGCCATCTGCTCGGACAAGACGGGCACGCTGACCATGAACCGCATGACCGTGGTGCAGGCCTACGTGGGGGACACCCACTACCGCCAGATCCCCGACCCCGAAGCCATCCTGCCCAAAATCCTGGACCTCATCGTCCACGGCGTCGCCATCAACTCGGCCTACACGTCCAAGATCCTGGTGAGCTGGAGAAACACCACCCCGTGTGTCCTCTGCAGCTCCGTTCCCAGGTTTGGCATCGCTTTTTCCCTTCCTTTCCCCTCTCCAGCCGCCCGAGAAGGAAGGGGGGCTGCCCCGGCAGGTGGGGAACAAGACGGAGTGTGCCCTGCTGGGCTTCGTGCTGGACCTGAAGCAGGATTACCAGGCCGTGCGCAACGAGGTGCCCGAGGAGAAGCTCTACAAGGTCTACACCTTCAACTCCGTGCGCAAGTCCATGAGCACGGTGCTGAAGAACAGCAACGGCGGCTTCCGCATGTACAGCAAGGGCGCCTCCGAGATCATCCTCCGCAAGTAACTGTCCCCCCTCGCCCCATCCCGGGGGCTTCGGGCTCTCGCTGCCCCGGGGACCTGTTTGGGGGGGCTGCGGGGTGAGGGGTGGTGGGGAAGGGAGGTGACTCTCGGGAGGTGCTGCCCTGCAGAGGGTTTAACTGGTTTTGGGTGGCTTTGGGAAGGCTGGGGGGAGCTGTGGGTCGGGGGATGCCCCCGTTTTGCAGGTGGGGGTGACAGGGGGACGTGCCACCAGTGGTGACCCTCGCCCTCCTCCCGGTCCTCAGGTGCACCAAGATCCTGGACAAGAACGGCGACCCCCGGGTGTTCAAGGTGAAGGACCGGGACGAGATGGTGAAGAAGGTGATAGAGCCCATGGCCTGCCACGGGCTGAGGACCATCTGCCTGGCCTTCCGGGACTTCCCTGGGGACGCTGAGCCCGACTGGGACAGCGAGAACGAGATCCTGTCTGACCTGACCTGCATCGCCGTGGTGGGCATCGAGGACCCTGTGCGGCCAGAGGTACTGACCCCGCTCTGCCCCAGCTGTCCTGCACCATTCCAGGACCAGGGACCCCTTTCCCGGCTGCTCAGGACCACGAGCCCCTTAGCAAGCCCAGGCACCTCCTCTGTGTCCAGCTCTGGAGTGCCCCACACCACCAGCTCCCTGCTGCTGGCATTTCTCTCCCACCCCTGGACAAAATGACCTAGTGACAGGGGGTTTCCACCCCAACTGCTCCAGGGGTCTGTGCACAAGCCAGGCTGGTTCCACATGGGTGAAAGGTGGATGGAAACACCACAGAGGAGGGATGGGGGTGTTGGAAAAGGACAGGGCTGGTGGAGCTGGTTTGCCCCTCTCAGCTGCTGCCCCTACTGTGAGGGTGCCAAGTTGGCAGCTGGGCTAATGCAGTAACCCTCCCATTCCTGCCTCTGCATTCCAATTTGGAGCTTGCCCCCGTGCTCCTGCCTTGCCTGGATCTTTTCCTGATTAGATGTCCAAGTATCTGGCTCTGGGAATTGCATTACAGATGCCCCGTCTGCACCGGCTCTGGAGGCCCTTGATTCAATTTGCTAATTCCTCACTAACATCCTCTTCCCCCACCGTTCCATAATGGATAAACCCATTAGTGCTGCTGGAGTGGGGTGGGGAAGGGGGGTGAAATGCCCCTGTTTTTATGGTGGCCTGGCAATGCCTTGGCACCCGGTGCTGTGGTGTGACAGGGAGGTGGCAGCGAGGTTCCCTTCCCCCTGGGGCAGCGGATGCAGGTTCCTCACCCCGCCAGAGCCCCTTTCCAGATCCTTTTAGGGAGGCTGGGAGAGGAGCTGCCTGGCTCCTCTGGGATACCCAGTGCCAAACTGAGCACCCTGCCTGTGTTCCCCCCACCCAAACTCTGTCCTTGTCCCCCAGGTGCCAGATGCCATCCAGAAGTGCCAGCGTGCGGGGATCACCGTCCGGATGGTGACAGGGGACAACATCAACACTGCCCGTGCCATCGCCACCAAGTGTGGCATCCTGCTGCCAGGGGAGGACTTCCTGTGCCTGGAGGGGAAGGAGTTCAACCGGCTCATCCGCAACGAGAAGGGAGAGGTGGGAGAACAGCCCTGGCACTGCTCTGCAGAGGGTGTGGGTGGCCTGAATCCTCGTGGGATTCCCTCCTCTCCCTGGATAATTGTAGCTGCTGGGATGCTCAGCCAGCCAGACACAGGGTGCTTGGGGGTGAAGGTGCTGTCCTGTCCCAGCTGGAGTTTGCTCTCTGGTGGGGCAGAATATTCCAGAGGGATCACTCCCTTCTCTCCCCTGTTTTTGTCCCGCAGGTGGAACAGGAGCAGCTGGACAAGATCTGGCCCAAGCTGCGGGTGCTCGCCCGCTCCTCCCCCACTGACAAGCACACTCTGGTGAAAGGTGAGCTCATCCCGCTCTTCCCGGGTGCTTTTCCAGCCTGATCCAGGCTGGGGACCTGTCCTTGGGGTTTAATTTCTCTGCACTGCTTGTCTCCCTGTCAGGAATTATCGACAGCACCGTTGGTGACCAGAGGCAGGTGGTGGCCGTGACCGGGGACGGGACCAACGATGGCCCAGCCTTGAAGAAAGCAGATGTTGGCTTTGCCATGGTATGGACAGGCCGTGGGTTTTCCTTTGCTCCCTGGGATGAGAAAACTGATGGCATGTTTGGTTATTGCCAACATCGAAATTATTTCTGGACTGCTGAAACTCTTTTCCAAATCTACAGGACGGCTTAAAAACTAAGAAAGAAACCTCATCTGGAGGTTTGATTTAATTCTCAAGTATTGTAATGGCCTGTTGGCAAGGGATTGGGAAGTCATTCCCTGGGAGCCTGGCTTGGGGCTGGGCTCTGTCCCACCTGGAGGGACCTTGTTGGGCTGAAGGTGACACTGCACTTGCAGAGCCCCCAGAGCAGGGACCTGCCCAGTTTATCCCTGCAGTTCTTCACCCCAGCTCCAAGCACGGTGCTGGCACTGGATTTGGGGGTTTGCTCACAGTGGAGAGCTCTGATCTCCTGGTTTGCTGCTCTTTTTTGCCCCGTCTGAAAGAAGCAGGAAAACAAACCTGTTGTTTTTAACAGGTTTCCTGTGGATTGTCTGAAGTTTAGGGATGTGAGTGGGAGCCAGGTGCTGGGTGGAGCCTTGTGAGCTTTGAACAAGTGAGAAATTTTGGGGGAGTGTTTTTAGGAATGTGTTAAATACCTAAGGAAATTCTGGAGCCTTTTGGATGAGCAGTAGAAAGTAGGCGACTGTGCCTCTGGAGCTTGTGCCCTTCAGCAGCCTGATCTGAGATGGGATGGGGTCTGGCAAATCCCAAGAGAATTCCTCTGGGAAAGCACCAGGGAATGGGCTCATTAAGGCCATGGCTTCGGCGCATTTAATGACTGCAGGACGAGCGCCTCAGTGTGCCCGTGGTGGGAATCACAGCCAGCCCAGTGCCCGTCCGGCTCCGTGTCCTTGGAGACGCTGCCGGTGGTTTTTGGGAGGTGGGGGAGTGCCATCACCCCGGCTGGGGCAGAAGGCCCCGGGATTTCGAGCTGCTGACCTCTCCTTCGTTTGGGATCCCAACCCTCGCGTGCAGCAGAGATGCCCAGCCTGGGATACTCGTGTTCCCTGGCAGGAGGAGGAAGCTGTTTTCCAGCTTTGCTGCACCGTGGCCCTGTCTGGGACGTGCACAGGCACAGGCTGGAAGGCAGGGCTGACTCAGAGCCCTGGAGCTGAGCCGGTGTCTGTCCTTGGAGGCTTTGCTGCTTTGGAGCTCCACTCTCCCGAGCGCGTTGGCGAGCGCGGGCTGGCACCGGCTGCTCTGGCTCTGTTGGATTTTCCTTTTGGGGGCTGTTTCTGGGAAGAAGCAGAGCCAGGCAGACAGAGCCTCTCTCCATGACTCACCCCACCGCTTCTCCCCGCTCCCCAAGGGCATCGCGGGCACGGACGTGGCCAAGGAGGCCTCGGACATCATCCTCACGGACGACAACTTCACCAGCATCGTCAAGGCCGTCATGTGGGGCCGCAACGTCTACGACAGCATCTCCAAGTTCCTGCAGTTCCAGCTGACTGTGAACGTCGTGGCCGTCATCGTGGCCTTCACGGGCGCCTGCATCACCCAGGTACGGGGACAGGGCAGGAGGGGTGGGGGATTTAACAGGTTTTCTGTGGGTTGTGAGCAGGAGCCAGGTGCTGGGCAGAGCCTTGTGAGCCCGTGTAGGGAGCTCTGAGCAAATGGGAAATGCTTTGGGGGTGTTTTCAGGGAGGTGTTAAACATCCAAGTGCAATCCTGGAGAGGATTTCAGGAGGAGGGTGGAGGCTCCTGCAGAGCAAGGAGGGAAAAGAGGGTGCTTTCGGGGGTGTGACGTGTTCTCCCCACTCTTCTCTCTGCAGGACTCCCCCTTGAAGGCTGTGCAGATGCTGTGGGTGAACCTGATCATGGACACCTTTGCCTCCTTGGCCCTGGCCACAGAGCCCCCCTCTGAGTCCCTGCTGCTGCGCAAGCCCTACGGCCGCAACAAGCCGCTCATCTCCCGCACCATGATGAAGAACATCCTGGGCCACGCCGTGTACCAGCTCACCATCATCTTCACACTGCTCTTCGCAGGTGAGCTTTGAGCCCCGAGGAATGGTGGGAGGAAAGGGAAAGGGGCAGAGCCCCAGCCCTGCCTGCAATCCCCCGTTCCTCCCCAAGGGGACCCTCGGTCTCAGCTGTCACTCAGTGAACCCTTGTTGGCCAGGACGGGGCTTGTTTAATCATGGGTGGGAAGCAGAGGGATGATGTGAAGAGGAATTTTTTCTCTGGAGACCTCTGGGTGCACAGACAGTTTTGGCTTTTCAACATTTCTAAGGAATTCAGGGTTCGGGGGGGGCGGCACAGGGGGCTCCAGCCGGGTCAGGGGATCTCCGGTGATCCTGGGGTCCTAATTCCACCTCCACCAGCGCAGAGCAGAAGTGAGGAGCAGGGTCTCAGCCTCTCCTCTCTCTTCCCCTCCCCAAACCCCCTTGTGTGCTCAGGGGAGAAGTTCTTTGACATCGACAGCGGCCGGAACGCGCCGCTGCACTCGCCGCCCACCGAGCACTACACCATCGTCTTCAACACCTTCGTCATGATGCAGCTCTTCAACGAGATCAACGCCCGCAAGATCCACGGCGAGAGGAACGTCTTCGAGTCCATCTACCGCAACCCCATCTTCTGCACTGTGGTGCTGGGCACCTTTGCAGCCCAGGTGAGGCTGCGGGGGCAGCGTGGCAATGGGGTGTCGGGGCCGGGAGGGGCCGGTGCCAAGGGCAGGACCCGTGTCTGCTGCAGTCAGAGCCCAGAGCTCTGTCCCGGCCCCTGGTTCTTCTCCAGCTGCTTCTTGGTGACAAAAGAACCTGGACCATCCCTGGCAGTGTTAAGGCCAGGTTGGATGGAGCTCTGAGCAACCTGGTCTGGTGGAAGGTGTCCCTGCCCATGGCAGGGGGTCCAAACTGGATCATCTTGAAGATCCCTTTCAAACCAGACCATTCTGTGATTCTATGATTTGAGGTCTAGAGTGTGTTGGGAGGTACCTCTGGTGTCCCATAAAGTTCCCAGCCTCGATGCGAGGTCCTTGTTCCCCTTGTAATCCAAGGAAGGAGGGAAAAGCTGTGTGGCCTGAGGGGACCTTCTTGTGCCATGGCTGTGCCCTGCAGCCCTTGGAGCTCCCCAGTGGGTGACTCTTCTCTCCTGTGCTGTAGATTGTCATCGTGGAGTTTGGTGGGAAGCCTTTCAGCTGCTCTGGGCTCACCCTGAGCCAGTGGTTCTGGTGTATTTTTATCGGAGTTGGGGAGCTCCTGTGGGGCCAGGTAAGAGCCAGTGTCCCAAACCTGCCCCGTGTCTTTCCCTCCCGCTGCCTCCCTGCCCTTGTTCTCCCCAGTATTTATTCAAGGCAGCTCTGGGAGGGGGTCTCACTCCCATCCTGCTTCCAGAGGGACACATCCAGCAGTGACATGTCTCTGCTGCATCCCAGTGTCTCAGCTGGGTCTGGGCAGCTCGTGCTCCCCTTGGCTGGTGGGCTCCTGCTCCCATGGCCTCAGGCTAAAGAGCTGCTCTCCCTGTCTCTCCCCAGCTGATCTGCACTGTCCCAACCAGCCACCTGAAGTTCCTGAAGGAAGCTGGGCACGGCATCACCAAGGAGGAGATCCCAGAGGAGGAGCTGCCTGAAGACGTGGACGAGATCGACCACGCCGAGATGGAGCTGCGGCGTGGGCAGATCCTGTGGTTCAGGGGTCTCAACAGGATACAGACACAGGTACAGGGGGGCAGCAGGGATGGGGGGGCTCTTCTCTCTTTCTCCTTCTTTCTCTCCAGGGGATCTTTCTGGAAAGAGGTGAATGCTGCTGCCCGGAGGATGCCATCGCCTCCTGGGCCAGACTTCTCCCATCACCTGTGCCTCTCTGGGTCTGTCCTGGTTGGGGAACCAGGACAGCCTGGCTTTGGGGACATCTTGGGGTGGGGAGAGGCTGCTTTAATGCAGAGCACCCTGTCCTGCTGGTCTGCAGGAGGCTGGACGTGCCCCTGCTGGGCACCTCGTGCAGCAGAGGAGGTGGCTCGGAAGGTGTGGGGGGTCCGTGGAGCCACCCAGGCTCTGTCATGCAGTGGGTCAGCACTGGAGCTGCCCTTGGTCACTGCTGGGATGCTGTTCCCAGTGAGGGTTGTGCTCATTCTGCACGAGACCCTCTCTGGTCTCGCTCTTTGGCTGCTCTTTTCTTCCCGACAGCCCCTTGGCTGCTGCCACCCCTCTGTGCCAGCTCTCTGTGCTCCTCACCAGGAGCTCTTGGCCCCACAGCACAGAAGGGGAGGAGAATCTCTCTCTTAATATGCTTTTTACATCACTTGTTTTTCCCTTACACTCTCTTTTTCCTGAAAGGGTGTTTCTTTTTGCCCCAGACTGGGCAGGGCAGGGTCAAAGCCCCTCACCTTTCCTGGAGGCCTGGGCAGAGCTGTCCCGTGGAGGAAAGCTCCATGTCCCAGTGTCCCTGGCACACAGGGCTGCTGGGCTACCTTTGTGCCTCCTCTCTGTCCCTCTGACAGACAGAGAAAACCAAAAAGGCCCTGAGACAGGGGCTGGGGCAGCACAGCAGCTGGGCTGTGCCACAGGAACTTTCCTTCTCCTCTGGGAGATGTTCCCTTCTTGATGCTTTTAAGGTGGAGTTCAAACTTGACTCCCTGCTCGTTGTGAGCAGTGAGGGGCTCTTTGGGGAGCCTGGGCAGTGCTGGAAACCAGTGGTTCCCTCACATGAAGGATGTGCTGGCAGCTCCAGGCTCTTTTGGAAGAGGTCCAGCTGTGTTGGAGGTCTGGGAGGTGCAAAGGGCTGCAGTGCCAGCAGCCAGGTGAGCCTGGAGCCTCCCAGGTATCTCCCTGCAGGTGTGGTGGACCTGGGCTGAGATGAGCCCTTGCTCTTGCAACATGAGAAACGCTCCTGGATGCACATCCTGGAGCCTCTTTAGGGACTCCTTTCCTGGCTGTGGTGCCCTTGAGCAGAGCAGGCAGGTCCAGCCTGAGCATCTGGGGGCTTCTGTCCCCACTCAGTGTGTCTGAATGAGAGCACAGGGCTCTTCCCCACAGCCCAGCCCGGGGCACTGGGGAAAAGAGGGGCATCAAACTGGGGAAGGAGCGAAGCCGTGTGTGAAGTCCCTCCAGTTGAGCCAGAGCTTCACGTGGGTCTGGAGGAGGTGTCCCTGCCACAGGAGCTGTGCTCCCTGCACAGGGCTGGGGACACTCCAGCTGCAAAGTGTCCAGGAAGCCAAGGTGGCACCTGGATTCTGCCTGGTTCCTCTGCCCTTGGAGCACATCCACAGAACTGTGGCCCCACCACCAAGGATACTTCTTGCTGCATTCCTGCCCCCTCCAGCTCTGCTCCAGAGCCCTGAGCCTGGGAGAGGGGCTGAAATGTCTCCAGCTGTGGGCACATGGTATGTGCCAGGATTCAGCCCCCCCAGCTGAACACCCCACAGGGCCGAGGGACCACAAACCCTTTGCCAGTGCAGTTTTCTGGACCCACCGGCTGCCAGCTCGCACCTCTGCCCACCCTCTCTCTTCCTCTGCTCCTGCTGCAGATTGCTGGGATAACCCAAGGTGTTTCCTCTGTCACTCCCTCCCACCACGGTCTCTCTGGTGGTGGGGGGGTAACTCCTGCTGCTCTCGCTCCCGTGGGAGGGGCAGAGGCTGGAAGGTGACCCCTCTGCTCCCCGGATCACCAGCCCAACCCGGTGGGGGCTTACGGGGTGGGGGGCTCTCTCCTCCCTCCTCCCCACCTGTCCATCCTCCTTCTTCCTTCCTGTCTGTGTGTGTCTGCCCGACCCCCCTGCTCCCCTCCCTCCCTGCCCCTGCCCCTGTCCCTGCCCGGGCGACGCTATCTCACTCTCTGGTTCTTTGCAGATGGACGTAGTTTACACATTCCAGACCGGCGCCTCCTCTTTGCAGGGAGCCCTCAGGAGACAGCCTTCCATCGTGAGCCAGCACCACGATGTAAAAAATGTTTCTAGCCCAACCCATGTAGCTCTTTCCTCCGTCAATTCCACTCCCACCACTTCTGCTGTTGCTGCTGCTGCTGCATCTCCTCCTGCGGGCAGTGAGTGATAGTCTATTACAATGCATGACTTCTAATAACCACAGAGAGCACCTGCACCCACCTAACCCGGCCTGTTCTCTCTCCCTCTAAACCCTGACTCGCACACTGGTTCCCAACATGAAGGATGGGGCGGGAAAGCGTTAAAAAAACCCATGGTTTTGATGCTTTTGTTGCACCTTTAACAAGTTGACCTTTCTGGTCCTTCCCCCCCCCAGTCCTTGTTGCTTCCTCCGTTTTTTACCTCTTCTCCTCCTTTGCAGGGCTGACGTTTGAGTCCACCCTCCCGAGGGGTGCAAAAATTGGCAGCTCTCGTTCAAAGAGCCCCGTGTTCATGAGCAGCTAAAAGCACTGCTGTGAGAAGGGCAACACTGAGCCCAAACTCTGCTGGTCCTTTCCACTGCAGCTCTGCCCGGCCCCGGGAGGGCAGGGGTGGGCAGAGGCGTTGCTTTCCTGCAGCTGTAAATCTGTTTGGAGGCAGAGTGGCCGCTGGGACCTTCCCCCAGTGTGCTGCAGGGCTGGCTGAGCCGTGGGGAGGGCGTGTGAGGAGCAGGATTTGCTCCTGCTATGGGTGGGATGGAGGTTGGACTGTGAACAGCCCTGCCCGTGGCTCAGCTGGCCCGTGGTGACACCTCGGGGCTGCTCCCCTGGTTCAGAACTGGTTTGGAAGCAAGCAGCCTCTGTGTCCCCCCTGGGGGCTTGCATGGCACGTGGGACAGAGCTGAGTGTGCCCTGTGCTGCCCTGGGGCTCCGTGGGGACAGCCCAGGGCTCTGCTGGTCCCCTGGCAGCCAGAGCATCCTCAGTGCCCACCTTGTCCTGGGCACGCTGGTCCTCAGTGTGTGCAGACACGCTGCTGTGCACGCAAACGGGATGGAAACCACTGATTTTTCCAGTGGGAAAGCTGGATCCTGGATCTAGCAGTGGGTTTCCAGGCCAAAATAATCCCTGCCTGGTGCAGAGCCCCTCTCTGTGCTCGTGGGGAGCTGCGTGTCCGGGCTGGGGGAGCACGTGAACGTGAGTTCTCTCTGCAGGCTGTGCCAGGCTGGGAGTAGGTTGTGTGTCTTTCCTGGATAATTGGCTTTTTTACTGCACAGTCACTTTCCGTGTTCTCCTCTTATTAGAGAAATATCCTCGGTGACTTTCTGAATAGCTTTCAGTCTCCACTGTTTATGCACTGTGGGGGAGGAGAGAGAATTTCGGATAATTTTGTTTTCTCTCTCTATTTAGCTGACTCTGGTGCTTGGATTTGATTGTGTTTAACCCCAGTGTTTCTGAAGCAGCACAGCTGCCTCTCTGCTCCCGCCTGCATCTGGGCACCACCGAGACTTTCTAATGGGAGAAAAGCTGCTTAGGGGGGCTCAGGAGAGTGGGCTGGGTGGGGGGCAAGACCAAAATGCAGGTTTTTTGCAGTCTGTGCATTAATTCCCTCTCCAGATTTGCAGCAAGGGAATAGATAACCCGGGTAGCTCGTGCCCTTCCAGGCAGCAAATCCACCAGGAGCTAACCCAGGTCTCCAAGTCTTGCCTGTTTTCTGCCTGGACTTCTCTTTTTCCCTCTGCTGCTTCCCTCTCTCCCGAAGCTCCTCTTCCCTCCACACAGATCCATGGTGCTCCTCTGCCTCCCACTGCACTCCCGTGGATGAGTTCTCCAGGGCTGGACCTCGGCAGCCTGGCTGCTGTGTCCCTCCTGGGCTGGTGGAAAGGCAGGGAATGACCCTCTGGAGATGGTTTGCAGAGCTGGGCTGCTCTCCCTGGGAATTTTGCCCTGGAGTGAGGGAGCTGGGCACAGCCAGGGGTCAGCAGTGGGGCTGATTCTGGCCTCGTGCAGAGGATGTAACTCCCATCTCCATGGGAGCAGGGGGGTTTGCCCAGCACATCGTGGTGCTGCAGGGCTGGTGTGAAGTGAGAGTAAATTCCAAGCCTGGAGGTTGTGTGAAGGTTCCAGGTGGAGAGGAGGCGTGAGCAGGGAGGGAGGTGGGCTTCCAGCTTGGAAGGGGAGGGTTTGGGTTTTGTTTGCACTGCCTGGCTCATTCAGAACACATTTCCTTGCTGTTCTGTTCCTTTGACAAGGGAACAGCTGAATTCGTTTCACAGCAGCTGCTGACAGAGATGGTTGAAGGAGGAAAATCTGAGCAAAGCTGCACAGAAGCTCCTTGGTGGAGCTGCAGGCAGTGAGGGGGCAGAGACAGGGAGGGCTCCTGGGGAGCTGCTCCTGCCTCTGTGCTGGGCTGAGCACCTCGTTGCTTTGGCAGTCTCTGGGCTCTCCTTGGCCTGTTTGGGTTGGTTATACTTGATTTAGTGCATTCTGTGTTTTAGGGGTCAGGGATTGCAGGTGCTGTTCTCAAGGTGATGTGACAGATTGGAGGTGGCCTGTGTGGTCCTGTGCACTCCCACTGACCTCACCCAGGCTCTTCCTGTGGTGTTAGTGCAGCAAATCCAGCTCAGAATTTCTGTTTCCAGCTCCACCAACCTTCCATTTTTGCAGGGCAGCTGGTGCTCCAGCACCAGGGGGTACCTGGTCCACGCTCATCTCCTCATCAGTGTCTCCAGCTCATGTGTGCGTGCTGGTCCATGTGTGTGTGTGCAAGAGCTGGGGGGGTTGTTTCCAGCCAGGCTGTGCTGAGCCTGTGCCCGGGGATGCCACTCTCGTGGTGCAGCACCATCCTTCTGAGCCAGGTGCAGAGGGGACTCAGAAAGGCATCCCCTGTGAGAGGAGCCCTGGAACAACTTGCAGGTCAAACTCCCAGGGTTCCAGGCACGAGGCTCTTTGAGGAACCTCTCTGGTCTGGTTTGGTGAGTGCTGCTGGTGCTGAGAGCAGAGATCTCCAGGAGGCTCTTGCTGGCTGTGCTGGTTGGTGAGCTCCCTCCTGGCCTGGCTGGGCACCACGCTGAGGTGGGCAGTTAAACCCAGCTCATCTCAGCAGGATGTGGGGTGTGGGCTCTGCTCCCCCACCATTCTGCAGCCTGGGCAGAGGGGGGGCAGAACTCACATGGCTCCTCATTTGCCTCATCAGAAAGGGGGTACCTGGATCCTTCTCCCTCCAGCCCTGCACATTCTCCACTCCCTTGGCCAGTGGCTGAGTGATGGGGAAGCTCTGGGATGCAGCACAGGGATGCTGCTCCCCCACCCCTTCCGTGGGATCTGTGGATCTCCTCCCTTTTGTGCCCCAGCCTCAGTCCACGGGGACACTAGGAGAGCAGGCAGGGGGCTGGGATGGGGTGGGGACTGGGTTCCTCAGGTGCTGGGAGCAGGTGAAGGTGGCTGATGAGCAGCAGTGCTCCTTCCATGGAGCAGGAGATGGAGCAGGATGACTGGCACTGCTCCAGGGAGGTGTCCTGGACGGCCCTGCTGCTCCCAGTGGGGCTGAACAAGGTCTCACAGTGGTCTGGAGGCATTTCCTTGGGACAGGAGGAGTTGAGCAGATCTCCTGGTCCCAGATGAACTGTGATTAACAGAGCAAAGGTTTCTGTTGCTTCCATAAACCTCACAAGACCTTGGATCTGATACTTGGATCTGACCTAACAACTGCAAGGGAGGGCGAGAGCTGGAAGGGTTCGAGGCTGGATTTCCAGAGGGTCTGGAGGGAGCAGTGAATCCACTGCAAGCCACCATCCAGCCTTGTTTCCAGACCTCTCCCTTCCAGTGCAGTGGAGGCAGCAGAACCATTCCCTGTTTGTCCAGACCAGGCTCTGGATCTCCTGCTTGTAACACGTTGGCTTTTTGGGGGAGCTGCCCCGTGGGTTTCCCAGGAGCATGGCTGGGATTCCGAGCAAAGAGAGTGGTTTTCCTGCAGAACATCCAACAGAATTAGCTGCCTTTGGAAACCACTGGGTCTGCTGGTGTAGGGAAGGATCCAGAGCTCCAGCTGTGTGGGGAACCTCACACAGATCTGGCTTCCTTCGTGCACGTTTAGCTGGGTTAGCTGATCGTGGCATCCACTTGGATCTGGTGCTTCCCATGGGCTTGAAAAGTTGGTGACACCTTTTTAAAGCCCATTCCTTTCCCCAGGTCTAGCAGTGAACTAGAACAAACACACCCATGGCTCCCACGGTAGAGTGTTTTGAACCCGCTGTTTGTCTAACCCACCTCTTTTTTGAGTCGTAGTTCCACCCTGTTGTCCTCGTCCATCCCCACGAAACGCGTGTGCACACGTAATGACAACTAATGCATTCTGGCTTCCATCCATTCGGAGCGACCTGGGGGCGGGTTTTGAGTCGTTTTGTGTCTTTTCTTGCAGCTTCTGAAGTCGCCCCGTAGTCGGTCGATTCCCCCATCACACACCCAGTGCCTGAGTCTGATCCGTGTTGGCCCTCCTAGTTCACCATAGACCTCTCAGTTTGACCCAGCTGTGTGCTCAGTGGTGGTGACTTGTTGTCGTGGTCGTGCTTTTTCGTTTTTTACCGTGTCCTCACTCTTTATTTGGCCTCTCTCCCGGGCTCTCTGGCCCCCCGGAGCCGTCACTAACCCGTCTCTTTTGCCCCCTCCCCGCGCTCCCGGCAGATCAAGGTGGTGAATGCGTTCCGTAGCTCCCTGTACGAAGGCCTCGAGAAACCCGAATCCAGAAGCTCCATCCATAACTTCATGACTCACCCAGAGTTCATCCTGGAGGAAGACGAGCCTCGAACACCATTCCTTGACGGCGCTGAAGACGACCCCGAGACTGACGGGCTCCCGACGCGCGGCGGGGGGAGCCCGGGCGGGCCTCCAGCCCTGAACAGAAATAACAATGCAGTGGACAGCGATCGAGCTGAGCTCTCCGTCCCGGAGCCCGAGAGCCCCTTCCACAGCCTGGAGACATCGGTTTGACCTTAGAACTTGGAACCCCTCCCCTCCTCCTCCTCCTCCTCCTCCTCCACCTCGGCCCCTCGCCCGGTGTGACGTCGGCACCAGTAACTGCTCACACCTCGTGTCAAACTGCTCATACGTATATCAGTGGGGTGGGTTTTTTTCGGGGGGGGGGGTTTATTTGTTTTCCTTCGTTTCGTTTTGTTGTTTTTGGGTTTTTTGGGGTTTGTTTTTTTACCATGGTTTAGCAGTGGGAACCAGAGTGCCACGATGCTGGGCGCTGGGGAGAGAGGCTAAGCCAAAAAGTTGTGCCATCTCCATCCCTCGTTTTCAGTGGTACTCGCCCGGGTGAAGCAGCCAGGTTCTTTCCTCTCCAAGAGTTGGGCTCCAGGCGTGTCTGTCTGTTGGGGGTTTTCACTTTGCAAAATGCATGATCAAAGGAAATTCGAGTTGGTGTAGTCTTACGTGCCCACCCTCAGCCCGAGGGCTGGGCTGCACTTGTGACTTTTATTTTATTTCTTTTTTTTTCCACTTGTGGTTTTTTGGGGTTTTCTTCTAACGTTGGGGTTTGTTCTTTGCTCGTGGGATTTGCCCCCAGGAACTCTGCAGTGGGAAGTGGGGGCAGTCAGCACTCCAGTGCAAAAACTAAGAAATAAACAACAAAACCCAGCCAGGGGAAGGTGTTTACTCGCAGGTTGAGGGATACAGGGATGTGCACCAGTCTTCCACCTTGAAAAATGGTACCTGACCTTTCCAGCTCCTCTTCTGAGTGTCCACACACACTTTTCTCTCTCTGTTTCCAAATTGGTAGATGAGGAATGAAGGTGACTTGGCTGTAACTTTGCTGGATGGAAAAGATTCTGATTTTTCTACAAAGGTGGAGGTGAACTGGCAGTGAAAAGGTGGTGGGGGAAAAAAAACGCCACTGTTGTGAGAAATGTGGCTCCTTCCTGGGGAATCTTAAGAGAGGCCTCTCTGCTGCTCTTGATCAGGTGTGAAACTCTTGGTGAGAGCTTTGCCAGGGTTTTACAGCTCCTGCCTTCGAGAGCAGAGGGATTTCTGCCCATTCTGGCTTTTCTGTGCTGTTGGGTTAAATAATCCTTCAGCCTTGGAGTAGCAGCTCCAGTGAACTGCTGAGGAACCTCAGAGCTGTGCCCACCAGAAGCTTTACCAGGCTGAACAGAGAACAGGCATCGGGGCACTGAGGGCACAGTGGGCCAACTCCCAGGTCATGGAAGGGATGAATTAGGGATGAATTGTCTCGTTATCCCATGGAAGGGGGGGGAGGCTCCATGGCCAGTGGAGGACCCTTGGCTTCCTGGAGCTGCTTTGCCAGAGGAGGTGGCAGTTGCTTGGTTGGCTGCAGATCTTCCAGAGAAGGTGCTGCTGGAGGCTCGACCTCACTTGCTGCTTTTTTGGAGGTCATCTCTTCACCCTGTGTCCTGCCTCACCTCCACCTCTTGGAACCTTTTAGGGAGAGTCCTGTTTTTTGGAGCAGAGGCCCCGGTTGGCTCCGAACTGTCCCTCTGGTGATCCATGGCCCCGAGCAGGAGGCAGGATTTGCTTTGCTTGAGTCCCTTCCCCAGGGTTGTGGCCCCGGGCAGGCAGGGCCAGAGGAAGCTCTGCTGCCTTCCTTCTCTCCTCCATCCCAGAGGAAGCTCTGCTGCCTTCCTTCTCTCCTCCATCCCAGAGGAAGCTCTGCTGCCTTCCTTCTCTCCTCCATCCCAGAGGAAGCTCTGCTGCCTTCCTTCCCTCCTTCATCCTGTTTGGCCCGGTTGGAAGCAGAGAGAACCTGGTTGTAACTGGCTGTACAATGTCGTCTTTGCCCAGCTCCACCCCTGGGAGCAGCGGGGTTTTAGGGGCAGGGTGGGCTGGGCTGGTTTCTTCTTTCCTTTCCTTTCAGAACGCACAGCAGAATCTCCCGTGCCTTCTCCGAGCACTGCCTGCAGCACCTCCTGCCACGCCAGGGCCCAGTACTTTGCCAAGAAATAAGTGTTCCTTAAACCACAACACAAACCAAGTGTCTTTGTTTTGTTTCCAGCCCAGCCCCGACCCCGTCCCTTCCTCGGGGTGGGAGGAGGGAAGGATGAGCCGCCCCATCCCTGCCCCAGGTAGCTGAGGAAAGGTCCTTCTCCCCCCCTCGTGCCTGGGTGCTGGCGAGGGGTGAAGGTTGGGCTCTACACTGCCAACAGCCAGAAGAAATTGCCACCACTGCCCATCCCAAATTCAGTGTCAACCCCCTCCCTGCCCATCGCTGCCCTCCCCTCCCCAAAACCCACCGTGGGCAGGACCTTTGGGGGGGGAGTGTGGGTGGTTCTTGGGTTAAACACGAGTTGGTGACAGGAAAGACCGAAGGGGAGGGGAGGCGGGTGGTTGTGGGGTTTGGTTCTGTACTAAAAGGTGACATTGCTTAAAAACAAAAAAAAAAAAAACAAAAAAAAACCAAAAAAAAAAACAACAAAAAAAAATTACTTTTTTTATATTTTAAATACTCGCAACAAAAAACCAAAAAAAAAAAAAAGGTGAAAATATGGTGTTCTTACAAGCTTACATAAATATTTATTAAATACTTTTTTTTGGGGGGGGGATGCACCGATTTATTTTGTTGTTGTTTTTTTTCTTTTGATATTTTTTTAATACCTCAGACCTGTTTAAAAAATAAAAAAAAAAAAAAGACTTCAACCAACCAAAAGCCAAGTTTGGAGGCTCTCAAAGTCACTCCCAAAAATCTGTGACTGGCAGGTTGCCACAAGGGTCTGGTCGTTCTTTAGTTGCTCTATTTTTGTCATTCTAGTTTTCCATATTTAGGAGGGGGAGAAATAATTATATATAAATATTATGCAAAAAAAAAAATCTAGTTTTCTTTAGATCAGAAACTGATATTTTTACGTCAGCCATATGTATTTTGTTTAAAGAGAAGTAAATAAATAAATCTCGAGTCCTGGTGCGACTGTGTGACGGCAGGTCCAAGGGACAGGTAATTAATTCCGTGGATTAATTAATTCAGCCATCGGATGCCAGTCAGCTTCCTTTTCTCTGAGCAGCCATCTTTCTACTAGACGTTAGTTGGGTGACACAAATGGGTTTTTTTTATATATATATATATATATATAAATTATGTTGGTATGGCTGGTTGCTTCAAGTATAAGCGTTTCTTGTGCGTACAGATTTCCTGTAAAGTATTTGGGGGGGGTTTTTTGTTGGGTTTTTTTTTGTTTTTTGTTTTTTTTTTAGTTTCAGTGATATACTGGCAGCAGCTGACTCTTGGCTTAAGTTATTGAGGACATTACAAAAGATTTGGGGGAGATTGGTGCTCCAAAAGGCATGGTCGGCGGCACGAACTTTTGGGGACTCTCTGCAACATGCCTTGACTAGGGGGAGATATATATAAATATATATATATATATTATTATTAATTTTTTTTTTGCTTTGTTTGAACTGCCACGAGCGCGCACGGGGACAGTGCCCGACAGGAACCGAAGTCATACCCTGTGATCCGTGTTAACTTGCCTTGGAATGCTTTGTTATTAAAACACTCTGAACGTAATTTTGCATCCAGTTCTTGATCCCAGGAGGGTCTCTGGTGGTGGATTTTTTTTTTCTCTGTGGAATAAATTGGCGGATTGGTACCAAAGACATCCCACCACGCCCTTGGTGCGCGTTGCTGACCAGGCAGCTTCGGAGGCGTTTGCGTTCTGTGCTGAGGTTTCCGTTCTGGTTTGCACAGGGGAGTTTTTAACTTCGTTTTCAAAGGTTTCGTGCAATAAGCTTCGAGGGAAATTTCGGAAACAATCTCAAGAAGGAAAAAAACTAAACCAAATTTTAGCATGGGCGGCCTTTGGCTTTTCCCCCCCCCCGCGAGGAGTCGATGGCCCGGAGTGCTCAGCCCCAGCTCCTGGGGGGGGCACGATGGGGGAGACTGGAAAAACCCCATCCCAAATCCAGGGAGGGCATCTCCAAGGTGCCATGGCCGAGTCCTGCTGCTCTCCACGGCTGCAGGGCCCACACCAAAGTCCCTGGAAGCTTTTGTGGGAGGGCACCTGTAGCTGCATCGTGTCCTGCTCCGTCCCACTCTTACGAGTTCATGGACGTGGATCCCTAAAACACCCCCCCTGCACTCCCAGCTCTCCCCTTGGAGCACAGGGATGTGGGGATACCTCTGTCCTGGACCTGCCCCAAACAGAACCACCCCAACCAGGTGGGTTTTGGCCCCTGGTTCTTCCTCTCCAGCATCTCCCCCTGCTGAGCTCTGCTCTCCTCCCACTCACCAAAGGCCCCAGTTTTCATCCAGCAAAGCCCATGGCTAAAACTGCCTTTAGTTTATTTCCTCCCCTTCAATAAATATATATATATACAGTATGAAATCAACATTTATGTGTGTGTATATATATTTATCCCGCGCTCTCACAACAAAACTTTCCTTTGAAGAGGGCACGCAGAGCCGAGTTTTTCTTTTCCAGTAACTAAGTATAATAAGCACTGGTATTTTTGTATAAAAACGGGAGAAAAAATAAAATACAAAACAAAAGACTGAATATTATGTGGTATGCATGACATTAAACAACAACAACAAAAAAAAAATGGTGGTTTCAAAGCAATATGTACCCTGGTGTGTTTGCCATATCCTACAGTCCAGCTTAAAGTGCACCTGATCTGTATTGCATTTTGATATTAATCTCTATGTACAATGTTTTGCATGTAATTTATATGGTTCTTGGGAGAAAAAAAAAAAGAATCTGAATGAATTGTCAGTTGGCTTCTTCTGAGCAAACAGACTCCAAGCAGAGCTAATACTCCGAGGGGAAGCAGAAGAGTGGTTGAGGGGTGGGAAAAAAGGGTACATAGTTCAAAACCAGGCGTGCTGGGGGTGGGGGACAAGGAGGATGGTTTGGAATCAATAAAGCTTTGGCTGTTGAGCAGAAACAATGCGCGAGTGCATCCAGAGAATAAACTGTGCCCACGTGTAACTGTGACCTCCTCAGTGTGTCCAGCAGCTTGTGAAATCAATGCCAGGCCCTCTCCGAGCGCTGGAGGACCGGCTGGGCTTCCCATGGGAGCGTGGGGCCTGCGGGGAGGAAGGAGGGATGGGGGTCAAAACGGACCCTGCTGCCACCAGAGCTCCCCTCAGGGTGGGGTTTATCTCCATGTAAACCTCCCTGCTGAGTGTCCAGGGCTGGCTGGTCACACCCAGGACTCTGCCTCGGGTGTGGCTTCTCCACCTCCAGGCAAAGTCCAGGATTTGCTGTCAAACACCACCAAATTGGTGCTGCTGGGCTGTGTGGAGCTGCCCTGGAACACGGAACCTCCCTTGTCCTATTCCCCTGGAGCACAGATCCCTCTTTGTCCCATTCCCTTGGAACACAGATCCTTCTTTGTCCTATTCCCTGGAGCACAGATCCTCCCTTGTCCCAGTCCCCAGGAACAGTTCTCCCCTTGTTCCCTTCCCCAATCCCGTATGTGGTGTCTCTGAGGTGATCCTTGGTGGAGGTTGTGATCTCCAAGTCCTGGAGACCAGCTTTGAGCCCTGTCCTGCCTCCATACCGAGAGTACTTTGCCTCCCTTTGCCCAGATAAGAAGGACAACAGGAAAAAAGCCACCAGCCCCTTAAATACTCTCTTTCCCGAGCAGGTTGATTGCACTGGAGCTGTTTTTCATGGAGAGGCAGTGGCTTCTCTGTGTCTTTAATATCTCCAGGACCATGATGAGAAGATCCCACTGGGCTGTGAGGATCCAAAAGTTCAATCCAAAACATCTCCAAGCCGATCCTTGGAGCTGATGCCAAGCGACACAAATGGGGTGGAAAAGCTTTGCTGTGCAGCATCAGCCTCTTCCCTGCTTTCCCAGGGACGTGTCATTCTTAGGGATCAGGAGGAATTTCCTCCTGGAAAGGGTGGTCAGGCACTGGAAGGGGCTGCCCAGGGGGGTTTGGAGTCCCCATCGCTGGACGTGTCCAAGGAAGAACTGGATGCGGCCCTCAGTGCTCTGGGCTGGGGGACAAGGTGGGGACCAGACACAGGTTGGACTCGATCTGGGAGGGGGTTTCCAACCTCAGATTCCATGGGCGCGGGGAGGGGAAGGGGCCACAGTCCAGTCCGCCCCTCAGCGAAGGGCTCTGCACCCTTTCTGAGAGTTTTTGGGGGGTCTGATGCTCTGGCGGGGAGGAAGAAAACCCAAATCCCACAGCAAACCCTCCCGCCCGCACACCCCCGGCCATGTTTCCGGCGCCCGCCCGCCCCGCCCCGCCCCGCCCCGCCCCGCCCGGTGCCGGAAGTGGCGGGCGGTGAAGCCGTTCCGGCCGCCATCTTGGCGGCGGGCGGGCTGAGGTTGCCGGTGCGCGCGGCGCCATCTTTGAGCCTGGCGCGGGGGACGGCGGCGGCCCCGGCGGATCGCGGGGACAGCGCGGGGACGCGGCGGGGACACGGCGGCCCCCGGGGGCTCGGTAAAGTCCCTGATCGACCATAAATAACAGCCCCTTCGGTAGCCCGCGGCGGCCGTAGGGATGGCCCCTCTGGCCGGTTCCGCGGGGGCCGCAGGCCGCGTCTCCCCGCGCTCTCCCCACAGGGGTGTCCGCGGCCACCGGGGCGGGGGGGGGCCGGGGTGAGGTGGAATGAGGTGGGAATGGTGTGGGATGAGATTAGGATGAGGTTGGGATGGGGCGGGTTCCCTCCCGCAGGGTTTTGGGAGGGGGGAGCTCCGTGCCCGGGTAGGCCCCAGGCCCTTCCCCAGGGCTTCCCCCCCCAGCAGCTGCTTCATAAAAATCCTTATTTCCAGGTAAAACCTTTTGCCTCCCCTGCCCTAGCAAAGCCTGTGAGGGGCATCTCCAGTGTAGTCATCTAATCGCTCCTCGTTCCGTAGGATCTGAGTAACTCTGGGAGCACCCGGTTCTTAATTCCTCCTTTTTAGGGCGTTTAAAACGACGCCATCGCGCGGGGGGGGTGGTGGGGGTGTTAGTTGGCGTTGCAGTGGAGCCTCCAGGATGTTCCCAGGGATCGAGCTCTGGGCCGCAATTCCACAGTAACACTGGTTTATTTGGCTACAGAAAGGGAGATCTCCGGGGACGGGGGGGATCGGAAGGAAAACAGAACCAGGGGGTCGAACTGGTCACACACGGAGCTGAGCAGGTGGGCTGGAGGTGCCCCTGGATGTGTCCAGGCGTTCCAGGAAAAACTTCCTCTTGGAGTCACTTCCCGGCTGGAGTGGCCCCTTCCCAAGTGGCTGCTTCCAGGGGAAACTGAGCTTCTTTGGGATTCACTAAAACGTTTCAGTGAGGAGAGGGAGGGGGTTTCACAGCAAATCGCTGCCAGGCCCCGGGATTGAGTTCAGAAACAGGGAAAGAACGGGAGTGGTTTATTTAATTATTCCTGTCTCATCCTGGAGTGGATGTAGCAGCTTCCCTGGGTTTGGGGTTGATTCCTGGTGCCTGTTGGAGGAGGAAAAGCCGGTGGACAGTGAGAGTGGTTGAAAAGGGGGGGTAGAACATGTAGTTCCTGGTGCTTTTCCTCCCTTGCAGGGGAGAAATGGGGGGTTTGAAACATCGAATATTGTTGTAAGGAATTAAAGGCACAAAGAGAGCAGCAGGAGAGACTTTTCCAGGGAAATCTTGTGGCTCTAAAACCAAAAATTCCCCACAGGGAGGTGCAAGGAATCTGCTCTCAGGTGTTTTTTGAGGTGCAGAAAGGTTTGCTTCCTTCTTGCTCTTCAATCCAGGACAGAGGCAGGTCAGGAAAGTGGGAAATCAGGCAGGGAATGGGATTGGTTCTGCAGTACCAGGAAGGAGAAGCTTCTAAAATACACTGAACAGGTTTTCATTCTATTATTTATCTTCCCTTAAAATATATAAAGTTTACCTTGCTTTTGGTCATGTTTTTCCTGACCCTCAGCTACTGTATCTGTAATTATTTTATTTGATTTAATTTTTTACAAAATGGGTTCAAAATCTCTTAATACGAACATTTCACTGGAGTTCTGGGGGAAAAAAGTGTTTAAAGTTCTCATCGACTTGGATCAGAGGCCTGCTGAGTGCACCAGAGTTACTCATTTTTATTCTGATTTTCTGGGGTGAATTCAGTTGATTTTTGCTTAGCACTCAGATTGCCACTTTAAAATTAAAGAAAAAAAGATGTTTAATTAACTTTGTTTTATAATTAAATTACCTTTATGGAGTTTAGAACTTTTAAGGGGTTTTTTGTTGGGGTTTTTGTGGGTTTTCTTTTTCGTTGATTTTTTTTTGTTATTGTTGTTAATTGTTTTAAAGTTTTGCTTTATTCCCGTTCCTTAAACAAGATCCATTCAAATTCTGACCAGGAATATGGAAATATGGAAACCCAAATGTGGAATATGGAAAACTGCTGAGCTGATTTAGTTTAAAGGAACTCAATCTGAAGGGATATTTTTTTTTTCCCCCCAAGTGGTGGATGTAGGAATGTTGAGTTATAGGCGTGTCTCACTTCCCAAGGAAAGGAAATGCCACCTTCCAGACCGGGAATTCCTGGTGATTTGTGTGTGAATGCCTTTGCTCAGCCAAGCCCTGGCCCTTAATTACCATCCACTGAAGTGTTGCCTTGTGCAAACTGAAGAATTTCGGCCTTGAGATTGAATCTAAAACTCCCAAAAGCAAAACACTTGGAAAAATGTGTCTCCTTGAACCTCCACACGTAGGAGCTCCAGGAATTTTTAGAATTAGGTTCCAAGGAATCTGAATGACACAAAGTCTGTTTTTGAAGGTGCTAAAGGTCAAGAGTGAATAATCCCATGGATATGGAAGAAGGGAAGGAAACCCTGCACTTAAACTCCTGTTTTATTCCCCTTATCAAGCAGTCAAAAAACAATAACACGTATGAGAACCCAACTTTTCCTCTCTTTATTTTAGATTTGGGAAAATTCCTTGCCAAAAAAAAAAAACAACCAAACCCTGGAAAATTCACTAGTGTTTGTGTGAGTAAAAGGTTCCAACCATTTATTACTGATCTGTAAGAACGATTTCATTCAGTTTTGTCCCCAAGAATCCGAAATCCTTTTGCCCGGAAATGTGCAGTGAAAGGGGTAAATCACTTTTATTTGAATTTTAGCTGGTCTGGTTGCAGGTCAAAAAACGAGAATCCTAAAAATCTTAATTTTATAAGAATATAAAAATAAGTGCATGACTTCACATATAAAAAAAAAAATGCTGTAGCTCAAGAAATCGGGTTCTGGTGGCACCAAAAAATCATCAGCTGGATTGGACCTGAGCCATTTCCAAATGATCTTGCAGCGATGGATGATGATGGATCCATGGATTAGGGAACAGCAAATTCGTAGCATGTGATGGAAAACCAAATTATTTCCCCAAATCCAAGCCATTCACAAGCCCTGGTTCCATGCAGCCATGCCACTCCCTCCGGGGGCACTTCCCTGCTCCCAAGGCTTGCTGTGCCCTTGCTCTGCTTTCTCCTCCCTGCTGCTCACCTGTCTGCTGAGGGTTCCAGCCAGTCCCGAGGGATGGGACCCCCTGGGTGGCTGTGTTTGTCCCTGGGTGGATGTGTTTGTCCCTGGATGGATGTTTTTGTCCCTGGGTGGATGTGTTTATCCCCTGGTGGATGTCTTTGTCCCTGGGTGGATGTCTTTGTCCCTGGATTGGATGTGTTTGTCCCGTGTGCATGGAGGGATGTTTGTGTGCTGTCCCCAAAACCTCCCATCCCAACTAACCCCTGGCAGTGTCACCCCCGACTCCTATCCAGATATTATGGAGATATTTCATTTTTTCCCCCCAGTTTTCTCCAAATGAGAGGCTTTGCCTGCAGTTTGCTGTGGCAAATAGCCAGAAATTCTCATTTTTGCTCGCGCTCTCAACTTTATTCTCCCTCCTCTGGCGTGTGTATAAACACATCTGTGCATGTGGGTTTATACACACAAATGTGGGGTTTTCTGTACAGGTAATAAAGATGGGGGAAGGTTTTTGTGTTTTCTTAATAGGTGAAGAAATCTTGGAAGACCAGAAATTGCAACTTACTGAATGTTAAATTATTAAAATTAGAAATTGCCCGGCTGTGGAAGATGGAGCCTCATTTTTGCAGCCACTTTGAATCCCAAGTTCATCTTTAAATGCGCTGGGGCTTCTTTTGGTGGTTTTTTGGTGGTTTTTTGGAAGAGCTAAGTAACCCTGGCTGTCTCCAGGCTGACAGTGTTCCAATGGACTTGCTTCCTCCATTAGTTGTAAGATGTTTGAGAGCACATCCTAAGTTTGAATTGTGGATGAGAGGTTCCCTTGGCAATGTGAGAAGGAAAATTCTTTCTGCCCCTTTGTTATTAATTCATGGACTCAAGTGTTGGTTCGGCCTACAGGAGAAGGGAACTGGATGTCTGGGAAGATCAAAGTCTGTGCTGAAGTTGTCCAGGTGTGTGAACCCCAAAATCCACAGGGACTGGAAAAATCTTTAATGTACTGTTGTATGTGATAGAAATGATTAGTAATTGATTAATCATGTAATACTTCAAATGTCATACTATTCAAATGTCACTTCAAAAGGTGGGATATTATTAAGATGTGGTGTTATTAAATCATATTAATGTGATATTATTGAGCAGTTATATTAAGATACTGTTATTATTACTGTTATTATTTATATGTAATTCTTAAGGCATAATTTGAAAGGTAATATCAATATCAGTTATTATCAATATATCAGTATCAATTGTATTATCAATATAAATTATATCAGCATCATTAATAACTCAAGATGATGACCAGTTTTTTAAGAAGTGGCTCACTTTTAGGCTTACAGCCACACACCAGTTTTTTCTCTGCTCCAAAATATATAACTGTGATTAAAATCCCAGGACAGGACTTGTGCTGACAACATTCGTGCGGTTTTACACAGATTCGGCAGAGTTTTTGTGACCAGCTGATTTCAACACATTTGCCCCCCTCAAGAGATAAATTTGACTAACAGAAAACAGCTGTAAAAATGCTCATTACTCAGTTATTTGTCACTTATTGATCCCTTTCTTCAGGGTTACTTTTAAAAAGAAGATTTCACTGCTAAGCCAGTAGAAGACTTTGAGTCCCAGAAAAGTGAAGCCAGTTTCTGCCAAGTCTGGAGGAAGACCCTGAGAGCAAACCCTGAGAGCTCATTGCAGGAATTTATCCATTATGTCTAACCAAGGAGATGACTGCTACTTCTACTTCTATTCCACGTGCAACAAGGTGTGTTTGGGAGCATTTTCCTTTGGGATTTGGTTTTTCCCTTCTTATTTTATAAGCAAGGAGGGGGAAGCATGCGAGGAGACACACAGGTTGCTGTTAACTGAATTAACTGCTTCCAGCTCCAATAATGTGGGCATTTTTGTAGGCTGGCTGGTTTTATATCCCTTTTTTTTTCCTGCTTTCCTTTGGATTCCAGGGAGACAGCTGTGCCTTCCGCCACTGTGAGGCTGCTCTGGGAAGTGAGACCGTGTGCACCCTCTGGCAGGAGGGTCGTTGTTTCAGGAACGTCTGCAGGTTCAGACACATGGAAATCGATGTGAGTGTTTGCAAAACAAAGCAAGGACGGCGTTTTTCAGTGCTGTGGGTGGGTGAATGTGCTTTTGCAGGATAGATTTACCTGCTTTAAAGGGATATTGGTCACCAGGAGGGGGGTGGGAGGAAGCTGGGGGAAGAAAAATCGATTTCTGAGGTGTATCTCGGCAGGAAATGTTTGCATTAGGTGCTGATGTTATTTGCTTAATCAGAGGTAGAAGCACAACCCCATGGATCACAGGGCTTAAATGTGCTGGGAAACAGCCTCCTGAGGGCTGGGCTGGAAGATGGCCTGGCAGGTTCCTTCTGCCCTGAATTTCTTCAGATAACATTATCCCGACCTCTTGGAGCAGTACAGGCAGGGGAGAAATCAGATGGGAAGGAACCAGTGCTCTGAAAGATAAATTCAGACAGATTTAACTGGGCAATTGAAGCCGTTTTTCCCTCTGAATAATCCCATTATTTTGGGTTTTGTACTAGTTTAACCCTGAGTTGATGTGTCAGGCTGGCCTGTCTTCCCCAGCTGAGCGACAGGAAAGCAAAGCCAGACAATATTTAGTTGTTCCCCCCCCTACACAAACTCTGTTTATGTGCCCCGAAATATTTTTAGCGAGAAGTTGACCTTTGGAATGGTATTTCAGCACTGCCCTGCAACAGTCCTGTCTCTGACATGTTATGAAAGTGAGTCTCTTTGCAAGTGTGAGCTTGGCTTTGTCCCTTCCCTCAGAAAAAGCGGAGCGAGATCGCCTGTTACTGGGAGAACCAGCCCGGGGGCTGCCAGAAGTCCAACTGTGCTTTCCATCACACCAAAGGCCGTTACGTCGATGGGCTCTTCCTACCCCCCAGCAAAAGTGAGTTCCTCAGCTCCATTTTCTGTAATTCTTCAGTATTTAGTCGTGAATATTGCTTAGGATGGGGTAAAACACTGGAGAGGCTCCGGGAATTGGTCACTCATGAGTGCAGGGAGAAGTCTGCAGTCACGGGCTCTCAGCTGAAGGGAATGTAGTTCTGGGGTTTAATTTTATTTTCGTGCTCAGCTCCTCTGTGATCTTTGCCTTTCAGGTTCCTTTCCCCTCATTTAGTCCTTTCTGGGTGGGGAGGTGGGTGTGTGAGGGAAACCACAGTGTAAGCAGGGTTTATCTTATCTACCTTCCCTGTCATACCTGCAACACTGGGGTCAGTTTGACACAGCCAGGTGACAGATGATCTCCTTTTCCTCAGCCACACTCCCAAGTCCACCTGAGTCTGCAGAAGACGATGTGAAAATGGCTCAGATGTCACTGCAGCAAAACAAACTCTCTGTGCAGTCCAACCCCTCCCCACAGCTGAGGGGGGTGATGAAAGTGGAGAACTCAGAAAATGTCCCGAGTCCTACACACCCTCCAGTTGTCATCAATGCTGCAGATGATGATGAAGATGATGATGGTGAGCATTTTTTACTTACTGAAGGTATTCCTACTGTAAGTGAATATATAAATCACATAATACCTGAATTTTGTAGTGGTTAAAACTACAGGCGAGAGTCTGGAGTCCTAAATATCTTTATGGGTTGAAATGTCATTGTATGAGCTGCATAAACATGAACAATCATGTCTGATCCCTACTCCATAAATTAATTGGTTTATTTTTGCCTTTCAGACCAGCTTTCTGAAGAAGGAGAAGAAACTAAAACACCTGTCCAGCAGCCAGCCACAGAAGCCCATAATGGATTGAGGCTGATTTCCACTAGGAAATCCAATGCTAATACAAAGCAAGGTATTCCAGCAGCTGTAGGAGGGTGGATTGGAAGGAGAATTTGACAACTGAAAGCAATATGTTCTAAAAACACAATAGAACATGAGGTCACTGAAGGGAGTCATTCCCCTCTAATAATGTCATATGTCCCAAGGAGGTAAACTCCTCCTGGTTTGCTTTTGTGGAACAAAACAGAGCCACAACATGGAGTTTAAATGCCTGCAGATGTGTCCTTTCAGACATTGTGCAAATGCCAGAGGAATCTTTAATCCCTCTGCATTACATTAATGCTTGGAAGTGGAGATCTTACCCTGTAGGATGGAGGAGGGTGAAGGAAGGTGCCAATTCCTTACCAAAATACCATCTGTTCTGGGGCTGTTTTTACTCATGGGGAGTGTTGACAGGGTTTATTCAAAATGCCCTTAAGCCTCAGTTTCATGAACTGCTCTCTGCTTTCAGATGACAATTTAAATTTCGGAATAAAAACACTCGAAGAAATCAAATTGAAGAAACTGAAGGAAAAAGCCAAAAAACAAGGTGGTGAGTTAATATCCCCTGTCTTCCTGTCCTTCTGCCTTCTGTTCACCTTATCCTTCTTTTTAATCCTTCTGATATTACTTGGATGGCTGGAATTTGCAGGAGAAGGATTTTTTTTTTGTTGCACTGTTGGGCTCAGAGTGGGAGATGGTTTTTGCAGCTGAGAGCTGATTGGGGGACAGACTTTTGGGAGCTGCTTTGGCGTGTGAGCTGTTTCTGAAGCAGCTGGTGTTCCTGCTTGGAATTCCAAGGGCAAATCCGAGGGGAAACTGCTCATCTCTCTTATTTACATGCACTGCTTGTTGTGTGTTTGGCAGTAATGAGTAACTGATGTTCTTGGTCTCCGTGATGGTTCTTCTGTTTTGTTTGGTTGGGTTGCTTCCCTAAACATCCTTGTTTGTTCCGTGCTCTGAGCAGAAGGTCCCTCAGGAGTTGCTGTTGATCCGCTCCAAGCTCGGACAATTCCTGTGCCAGAGAAGGAAAACGTAAGGACAGTGCTGAGAACTGTGACTCTGTCCTCAAAGGAAGGTGAGAACTTCCATCTCACGGCTCCTAAATCAAACAATCAAACTGTTCAGTAATAATTAACTGCCACGTGTGGGGCTGCCTTTTCTGAGTCAAACCACTTGATGCTCGAAGGCCCTGGTCGCGTTGGAAAGGGTTGGAATCCGGAGGTGCTGGATTTGTTACACTGCAGTAAAAGATCAAGGAGAGGTTTTTCTCATTAAGCCATAACTGATCATATCTTATCACATCCTCCAGACTCTCAAATGTGTTACATTTCACTTTGAGGTTGAGTTGTAGAAGTGCAGTAGCAGCAGGGAGGGGCTGATGGCAAAGCAAGAGTGAGAGTGCAGAGAAGAGGTTAATTAAAAACAGGAGTAATGAAAGGGAAGATCGAGAAGATGGAATTATACAAGTAGCCAGTTTTTGAAGCATTGAAGAGGCTGACAGTGGCAGTTGTGTGATAGGAGTCTGTATAAATTAATTTTAAAGGAAATTATAAATTCTTTTTAAAGGCAGAAAACATGTAGAACCACTTCTACTCACAGTCATTTATTAGTTATGGGGTATGGCTACCAAAGGAGTGTCATTTTTAGGGGCATGGGCTGGAAGGATGATGCTTTTACTGGCTGCTGGTTTCTGTGCACTGAACAGATGATTCTTTGTTTTAGGTGAGGATCCTGTGATCCAGCTGAATCTTCCTGACAGACTGGGAAAACGGAAAACTCTCATAGGTGAGAACTTTTTGTGAGCTGCTCTTTGGGTGCCCTCACCTAAACATGGTGTATTTAAAGGTATTTTTGGGGAGGAAATTACATGACGTGCATTGGTTGCAAACCAGCCAAATTCTGTTAGCAACTGAAAGGCAAATACCAGAAAATAAACCTGGAAGGACTGAAGTCTGTGGCTGACTGTTGGAAAATCCTCCTGCAGAGAAACCTTCTGAAAGTGTTTTCCCCTTTGTGTCTTTCTGAAGGAGGTAAAACCTTCCTTCCTCTGAGGCGTAACGTTGCTGACAGGCTGGGCAGGAAGACAGAGCTGCTGGAGAATGCTGAGAAAGCCCCCAGGAGAGGCACAGGTACCAAACACACCTGGATTTCACACCCACACTTTCTGCTTAGGTTTTCTGTTTCTCCTTCTAGTGGTTCTTTCTGCATGTTGGTTGAGGGCTCAAGGTAACTTTGAGTCCCAGTGGAGTGATCTCCTGTCTCATCTCACAAAATCAGGATTTCTGCAGTCTCCCTGACCTTTTCTGTTCTGTGTTTTAGTTCAAGTGCTGAAGTCCCTGAGGGAGAGGCTGGGACAGCCCTCTGACCAGAGCAGCACAGAGACAGGTAATAACTGGATATTAAATACACCTCCCCCTTTTTTCTTTCCATGAACTTCCATAGTGCCCTAAAAGTTAATTTTAAAGAGCTTGTGTCCCTTGCTGGGGTGGTGAGCTGTCCTGAGGCTGCTGTCACAGAAGTGGCTCCTGCATGTGTCTCATCAAGGTTTGATGCTCCTGAACCATCAGAAGCTGCAGTTGATCACACACAAGTAGGATAGAACCATTCCCAGGAGCAGGGTTTTGGGATGCCCATGGATAGACAAGGTCTAAGAAGTAACAAAATAACTGGTTCTGGTTTTCAAAATTCAGATGGTTTAAAAGAGGGAGGAGAATGTTATTGTTAGTTGGGATTGTTCAGCCTGGAGAAGGGAAGGCTTTGGGGTGATCTCTTTGTGCCTGAAGGAGCCGACAGAAAAGATGGAGAGAGACTATTTCCAAGGGCTGGAGTGACAGGGCAAGGGGGAATGGATTTACACCAACAGAGAGTAGGTTTAGATTGGATATTGGATATTAGGAGTGGGGAGGCCCTGGCACAGGCTGCCCAGAGAAGCTGTGGCTGCCCCATCCCTGGAAGTGTCCAAGGCCAGGTTGGATGGGGCTTGGAGCAACCTGGGCTAGTGGAAGATGTCCCTGCCCGTGGCAGGGGATGGAACTGGGTGATCTTTAAGGTCCCTTCCCACCCAACCCATTCCATGATTATGCAGAGGATACTGATCTCAGCTGCATCATCTTGAAGAGCATCAAACCCCCTCTCCTTAGTGCTGTGACAGATTTTGGAGACTCAGTGTTGTTGGACTGTGTTTAAACGCTGGTGCTTCCCTTTTTCGGCTGCTGACAGAGAAGGCTGCCAAGCCCATCGAGGAGATCCGGGTGAAGACCCTGGAGGAGATTCGGCTGGAGAGGGCGAGCCAGAGGCGGGGGGAGCCCCCGGCCAAGGCCCCCGGCGAGGCCCGGAGGGCGGAGGAGCCCAGCCCAGGGACCAGACCTGCCCCCCCCGTGCGCATCAAATCCCTCTCGGGAGCCCTGGCTGAGAAGAACCACAAGAAGTTGGAGGAAGAGAAGGGAAAACCGGAGGAGTTTCCTGCCAAGCCAAAAGCCGAGGGAGAGCCCAGGAGGAGCGTTCCTGCTCCGGCCGTGCCCGGCAGGGTGCAGCTGGCAGAGCCAGGGAGAGCCAAGCCAGCGGGAGAAGTGCGGATCAAAACCTTGGAGGAGATCAAGAGGGAGAAAGCTCTGAGGATGCAGCAGAGCGGGGAGAACGTGCCCGCTCCTCCTGCACAGCCCGAGCCTGCCCTCAGAGGGAGGAAACTGCTGCGGGTCACCAAGCTCATAGGTAAGGAGGGACCTCCCTGGGGAAGTGCTTCCCTGGGGAAATGAGTCCAGTTTCCTCAGGATTCCCTTCACTTTTTCCTTCTGTGAATACCAAGGTCAAAGGGACCGTGTTATATTCCACGAACTACGTGATAGTTTTCTGTATTTCCCCCTGGAAAATTCATTCCTTGAGGAGCTTTGTGGTCTGATTTCTCTCTTGTGTTTTTCTGCCATTGGTTTGTGGTATGGGATCTTCCCTGTGCAGAATCCAGGGTTACGTTCCTCTTTGGAATATGTGTGTTTGGGAAGGATGTATCAACTTGTTAACGAGGGCATTAAAGACCTCATTGTTAAGATTATATAAACCACATATAGAGAGATTGAGGGAGAGATGAGACACTTCAGGAATTGCTTCCTGTAGCCTTTCCCTCTGTCCTGAGACATGAGAAAATAAACACACCAAGGAAACCAGGTTTCTTTACCTCTGCTGTTGACAAAATACTTATTTTTCACTTCTGCTTGTTTTAAAGCACCTGGAAGAGAAGAAAAAATGATAGTGGAATTGAACAAACCTTCTCCAAAAACTGTCTCTGCACCTGCAGAGGTGAGTCTGTTGTGAAAACTTCGATATATACATTTGTACATAAAATTTCTGATAAGTTTTGCCATGTTTTGTTTCTAAACTCACTTCCTGCTCCCAGTTGGAATGTGTTCCTACCTTTCCTCATTTGGTATTTGCTGCAGTGAAGTCCCAGGTCCTGTCACTTCCAGTAGCATTTCCAGACAACATCATAATCCTCACTTTGAATTAATTAATTAATTTGAACTAAAACCTGGAATCAATCTGATTATACCTCACAATGAAACCTATTAGCATGAGAGGTTAATGTGGGGAGAATGGTTTTGTTCTCAGTGACTTTCTCTGGCAAACTCTGGGCATGTCTTGAAATTCTGAGCTGAGTATTTCAGTGACAAAGGCTGGAGGTTTCACGGGAGGACATCAGGCTGTATGGGGGAGCTTGTATGGCTTTGTAGTCCTTGAAAAGAATGGAGAGGGTACAGCTAGAGTCTTCAGCTCCATGAAAGCAGCTTGCTGTGTTGGGAATTGCAGGCTTTTGAAACATTATTACCAGAGCAAAGCAGGGATCTTGTTACAGGCAACATTTTACACAAAAAATGTTGGATTTCAATGGTGCCACATGGAGCCATTTTGGAGGGGTTGCCACCCAGATTTTCCTAATGGAACCTCCATAGATTTTTGTCCTAATAATCCTTTTCTTTTTTTATTTTTTTTTTTTAGCCCTCTGGTCAGAGTGCAGCTAATTCCACAGTGCAGGTGAAGAGCCTGGAGGAGATCATGTGGGAGAAGCGGCAGCTGAAGCAACGCCAGGAGAAGCTTCAGAAGGAAGCAGCTGCTGTGCCAACCCCAGTGGAGAAACCAGCCAAGGATAAAACTCCCCCATCAGGGAGCCCTGAATCCGCCGTGGTTTCAGGACCAGCTTATCAGCTTGGGAGGAGGAAACTGGTGAAGCCTCAGGAGGACGGGGTGGGAAGCCCAGAGAAGGACCCCGCAGTGTCCCCAGGGAAAAAGGCAGCCCAGCCTCCGGAACGGAAAGCTAAAAGTGAGTGTTGAGTGTCAGCTCAGGGTGTGTTGTGGAGAGCAGCCTGGGGAGAAGGGCCACGTGTGCTGGAAACCAAATCCTGGGCCACATCCAACTGAGTGTGGTCAGCAGGGCAAGGGAGGGGAGAACCCCCTCTGATCTGCTCTGGTGAGACCCCACCTGGAGTCCTGTTTGCAGTTCTGGTGCCCCCAACAGAAGAAGGATGTGGAACTGGTGGAGGAAGCCCAGGAGGGGTCTCGGAGTCAATAAAGGGACTGGAGCACCTGCCCTGTGGAGACAGGCTGGGAGAGCTGGGGTGTGCAGCCTGAGAACAGAAGGTTGTGTGGACACCTCACAGCACCTTCCAGGACCTGAGGGGGCTACAAGGCAGCCAGAGAGGGACTGTTCATCAGGAAACAGGGACAGGACAAGGGGAATGGCTTCACACTGAAAGAGGGGAAATTTAGGTTTGATACACAAAAGAATTCCCTGTGAGGGTGGGGAGGCCCTGGCACAGGTTGCCCAGAGAAGCTGTGGCTGCCCCATCCCTGGAAGTGTCCAAGGCCAGGCTGGACAAGGCTTGGAGCAACCAGGGCTAGTGGAAGGTGTCCCTGCCCATGGCAGGGCATGGAACAGGATGATCTTTAAGGTCCCTTCCAACCCAAACTATTTTCCAATTCCATGATTGTGGGACTATTAAGAACCTGTTGGTTTTTTGACCCAAGGCAGAGCAAGGCTGTGCCGTCTCACTCTTCCTTCTCTTCCAGCCAAATCCAAGGTGTGCCTGAAGCCTTTGGACGGGAGAGCCACGTCCTCCCCGAGGCAGACCCTGAAACGCAAGGCCACCGAGAGCCACCCCACTGCCGTGGTGGCCGTGAAGCCCCTCAGTGCCACCGGTGGGGACACCAAGGAGCCCTCAGCCAAGAAAGCAGCTGCGGTAAGGACAGTGCTCGAGCCAGCTGGGGGGCCCCAGGAACGTTTATGGCCAAATCTTGCCCTCTTCTGGGAGAAGAGGTGGAAAACTGAAATACCTAGGGAAGATTTTTACTGTCTTCCTTCTCCCCAGGCCGTGGCTCCTGCTTTGCCAGAGGACAGCCTGGTCTCCATACCTCGGAGGGAGAAACCTCAAAGCAGGTAACAATCACACCTTTGTCCCTTTTCTTGATCTCTGCCACTTTCATGTGAAACAGGGGGGTTTGTTCACATGTGGAAAATTTCGAGTTTCGAGGTAATCGGTGCCAAAATCCCAACAAAGAAACAATTAATTTGAAGTAATTTCTGTAGCAGCAATGCTTATTTAGGTGGTTTTCTTAAAATGCTGCACTTGGGTACAGCATTTCAGTGACTCTTTGGATTTTCTGAGTGCCTGTAGAGGTTCACTTCTTCCCCTTTTTATGGTCAAATCAGTAAAGATGGAGAAGTCTCTCTGGCTACAAATACTGACAATTCTTTCCCAGACTCCAGGTGTTTCTTCATGGATAAATCCCCAAACTGACAACTGTACCTGCTGATCCTGGACTTCTAAAAGTAGTCCCAGGTTAACTGAGTCACAATCCCTGTGTGAGGGTTGAGATGTAGGAGGGTTAAATTCCAGGTAAGGAATGTCACACACCGATGTTCCCTCTTGTTCTTCCCAGCCCTGAGCTCCACCTCGGGAGCCAGGCAGACTCCCTGGCACAGTCAGAGGTCTCCAGCTCGACTTCAGCTTCCTCAGAAGTGCCGGTGAAGCTGCGCCGGCTGAGCTCCACGGGCTCTGCCAAAGCACCTCTGTCTGTGGAAGACGACTTTGAGAAGCTCATTTGGGAAATCTCAGGAGGCAAACTGGAAGCAGAGATTGACCTGGACCCAGGGAAGGATGAGGATGACCTCCTTCTGGAACTTTCGGAGATGATTGACAGCTGAACTGCACAGTCTTAAAAAAAAAAAAATAAAAGACAAAAAAAAAAAAAAACAACACCAAAAAAAACCCCCATAAACTTCCTCCCTACACAACCCCCAAACCTGTATATTTTGTTGGATACGTGGAGGTGATCCTTTCCTAGCTGAGGCTGAAGGCACAGTTGGATGGGTAGGATTAGGCAGGATCTGCACTCAGTTGTCCTGAATTTCTGCCGGACTGTCGGTGGCTCCTTCCACATGGAGTGGACAAAGCACTTGTGTTTTTTTTTCTGGGGACACAGAGATCCCATCTCCAGACTGTGGTGGTTGTGAACTGATCTGCTCATTCTGTGACACTCCGAAGGCTTCAAACAAAAGCTCCCACCTTCCCTGGCACGCCCCAACATTCAGCACATTTCAGCGCTTCGTGTTCGGATCCCGTGGACAGTTGGTACCCAAAGCCTGGAGTTACTATGTCAACTCTTGAGTTTTACTGCTGTACGCTGTCATTTTGACTTTAATTAGGGGAATTAATGACAATGCTGGGGGGGGAGGGAGCAGATTAATTAGTATTTCGGACCAAACACGCTGCCAAGGGCAGTGGCTGGGGTGTGTCCATCCAGCCTTACTTTGAATTATCAGGGTGCTTTTTCCCGATGGGAACAGGGTCCTGGGGTGGGCAGCCAGGATTCCTCTCGTCGTCTGCAGTGAATTGGGAAAGGAAGGATTGGTTTAAGTGCCTCTTGGTTCCAAGCATTGCTCCCCTGAGCTGCCGATCCTTCATCCTGCTGAAGGAATTCCTCAGCCGTGACGTCCGCCAGCATCCGTCTCACATGCCCATGGAATGACTCTGGGAGAGAGGAAGAGGGCATGGAAGGTTTCCTCCTCCTCTATCAGCCCGTGGAGGCGGGATTTTGGTGTATACCATGGTTTCTGTAAATATTTTATTCTTCCATTTTATATTTGTATTCTATTTAAGGTATTAAACGTAGGCTGGTCACCTCCGCCCGCCCCGCTCGTGTCTGTACAGACCTCCTGGTTCTGGTTTCTATGTGTATTTTATTTAAGGAATTGTATTAAACACCGTCTGGTCGCCTCCTCCTTCCCTGTAGCTGAGTGTTTATAAATAAATAAGCGCAGGAGCGGGGTCTGGGGGGTTTGGGGGCTCAGAGGGGTTGACCAGGGCAGGGATTGTCCCCCTGTACTGGCACTGCTGGGGGACCTCAAATCCTGTGTCCAGTTCTGGTCACTCAGTTCAGGAGGGACATTGAGGGGCTGGAGCGTGTCCGGGGAAGGGAACAGAGCTGGGAAGGGGCTGGAGCAGCAGGAGAACCGAGGGAGCTGGGGGGGCTCAGCCTGGAGAAAAGGAGGCTCAGGGGGGACCTTCTGGCTCTGCAACCCCCTGACAGGAGGGGGGAGCCGGGGGGGGGAGCCGGGGCTCTGCTCCCAGGGAACGAGGGACAGGAGGAGAGGGAACGGCCTCCAGCTGGACGTTGCCGCTCTCCCGCCCTCCCGGAGCAGTAGAGCCGCGGTCCTCCGGGCCGCGCAGTCCGCCGCTATCCCAGCGTGCCCCGCGGCCGCGGCGCGCGGGAGGGAGCGGCAGCCATGGCGTACCGCGGGCAGGGCCAGAAGGTGCAGAAGGTGATGGTGCAGCCCATCGTATCCTGCACGGCCCGCGGGGAACGCGGGGGGAACGCGGGGGGCTGCGGGGGGCGGGGACTGCCGGCCGGGAGGGGGCCGGGGGTCATGGGGGACCCCCGCCGGAGCGCGGGTGCCAGGCCGCGGAGCGCGGCTCTCACCTCAGGGGCCTGGGTGGGATCCCTCGGGGGGGTTGTACCGTGGGGGTCGCGGGTTTCAGTCCCGGGTGGTCACAGGTTTCAGCTCCCGAGGGTCGCGGGTTTCACCCCCCGGATCGAGGGTTTCATTCCTGGGGGTCGCAAGTTTGATCCCTCGGGGTTCCTTCCCCCGAGGATCGCGGGTTTCGCCCCCCGGGCTGTGTCCCCGGGGGTCCCTGGCCGTGCCGGACCTTAACGCTCCCCTCCAGAACCTGATCTTCCGATACCTGCAGAACGTGAGTACCTGGGGGTGGCACCTCTTCCCAGTATCCAATTTAAATCTACTTTGTTTCAGTTTAAAACCGTTTGGGGAGTGTCTGGTGCTCCTTGAGCACGTGGCCTGTGCTGCCACACCAGGCTGGGGTTGTTATTAATTCGGATTTTGACCCGGTTTCGGTGGAACTGAGGAACTCACGGTCATTCAGAGGGGTGAAAACAGCTCAACATTTCCTTCCCCTGCCAGGAATTACCTGTGTAACAGGTGTTGATCTGGCAGTCCGGGGTGTGGGATGTTTCCACAGAACCCCAGCATGGTTTGGGTTGGGAGGGACCTTGAAGACCCTCTAGTTCCACCCTCTGCCTTGGGCAGGGACACCTTCCACTGTTTCCCTGTGACAATTAAAAATCTCTGCTGTCCTGTGTTTCATTATTAAATATTGTTAATTAGCATTATTAACTGTTATTTATTATTACTTAATTAATTATTGGCAAAACGTCAAAAACACCAGAGGACATAACAGAGAGACTCCTCTGAGAGCTGCAGTGGCTGTTGGCAGCGAGGAGCCCTGGATGCCCAGGAGGGAACAAACTGCTTGGGGTGTTTATGTTCCTGTTTTACTCTCCCTCTCTGTGATTTTTAGAGATCCAGGATCCAGGTGTGGCTCTATGAGCAGGTGAACATGAGGATAGAAGGCTGCATCATTGTGAGTATCACTGTTCCCTTGTCACTGCTCTGATCATTTTGGGGGGGGGTGGTTCAGGTTCATAAATCCATTTCTTCCTTCTTTTCCCATTGTTTTCCAAGAATGGGGGTGGAAATGTCTCTCCTGTAAAGAGCCTTAACTGCAGAGCTGAGGAGGGTTTGTGTGGTGGTTGCTGGATTTTACCTCCCTGACTGTGTTTGGTGCTGTTTGCAGGGCTTTGATGAGTACATGAACCTGGTGCTGGATGATGCAGAGGAGATTCACTCCAAAACAAAGTCCAGGAAGCAGCTGGGTAGGTCAGAGTGGCTGTGGGACCTGAGGGCGCCTGGGATCCAGGTGTGGGACCCGAAATCCGGGTGTGGGAGCCTGAAGCTCCTGTGGAGCAGACACTGGGCTCAGTTCCTGCTGTTTCCCGAGCTGGTGGATTTGTTGAATGTGCAGGAAAACGTGTCTGGGCCTGAGAGCACGTTTGGGCTTTCAAACAGCTCTAACAAATCCAGGCTGGACAGGGCTTGGAGCAGCCTGGGCTGTGGAAGGTGTCCCTGGGCTATGGAAGGTGTCCCTGGGCTGTGGAAGGTGTCCCTGCCCATGGCAGGGGGTGGCACTGGATGGGCTTTAACCCAGCCCACACCATTCCATGGCTCTGTGGTCTCTCCAGTCCCTGTTTCCCTTGTGTTGCAGGTCGGATCATGCTGAAAGGGGACAACATCACCCTGCTCCAGAGTGTTTCCAACTAGCATTTGTTCTTCACAACAGTGGCTGGAATGCTCTGGAGTGACTGAAGTGTCAGTGGGAGCAGGACTGGGCAGTGGGGAGGGAGTTGTGATAACTGGGGCTGTGCCAGGGCTGGGAACTGCCCCTTCCTCTGGGGGGGATTTTTTTTGTAGTTTGATGTATTTGGCAAATAAACATTTTTCACGTTACCTGTAAATGTAGACCTTGTTTTCAGTCTCAGGGTGCAGAGAAGGGGCAGAAAGGTCTCCAGGTGGTTTTCTCTGTGGAGTCTCTGATAACACCTGTGTGTTGTGGGGTGTTAGATCTGGTTTAGGAGGAGACTCTAAAAATTCAGACCATTCCAGGTAATTTTTAAATAACTGTTTTTGCAGCAATGTGGGACTTTTTTACTAATAGTGTGTGCTTAAAAAAATTTTTTGTTTAATGCAAAAAATTAAATAGAAAGAATTAGAAAAAATTAAGTTAATTTGCCTCAGTGCTGAGCTCCAGTTTATCCACTGAAATAAAAGTGGGAGCCTCCAAGGGTTTGTCCTCCCTCTGAGCACGTGGCTGGCACGGAAAAGAGATGGACATGAGGAGAAATGGCTGGTTCTTATCAGCCCTGCTGCTGCCAGCTCCAAATTGAGCACTCTGAGAGTCCCTGATGCCTCCAGAGCTCCTCTGATACGATCAAATTAGCGCCGCTGGACGTCGATATTGGAGCAGGTCGAGGATGGGAGGAAGGAAGTCCAGGCTAATCAGGCCGAGGCATCTCCGATAAGGTCCCAAAATAGTCCCTAATTATGTGCGTGGGGGAGCTGCAGGAGAAAAGAGGCTCCCGGCAGGAAGCCACGGAGCTGCAAAGGGCCTCCAGGAGAGCCCTGCATGTCCAGGAGGAAACACAGCCCCATTGTTCCAGCAGCTCCTGGCACTGGAGCCTTGCGGTCCAACAACAGCTCCTGGGCATGGCCAGCCCAGGGACAGGGCACAGAAACAATCCGGGCCCGAGAAACGTTTGTCTGTCCTCCGAAAAACCGCAGGGCTGACTCATCCGAAGGCTCGCGGAGCGTTTTAACCCCGAATCCTTCCAGCTCCCGGCGCCTTCCCGGGCTGCAGGCAGGGAGAAGGTGACGGCTCGGGAGCTGCTCGACCAGGGAGCCGAAATTCCTGCCGGAACGGGACAAAGTGGCTGCCAAGGAGTTCGCTGGACAGAAGAGGGAGCTGCGGGCTCGGCGGCTCCAGCCCCTCCAGCCGAGCGTGTCGAGCCTCGGCAGGAACTCCGAGTTCCTCAGCAGCGTTACCGGCTCCCAGACAAGCTGGAAGGAAGCGAACTGGGCTGACTGGTGCGGGGTTTGCTCTGCAGTGTTCCCACCTGGATCTCCCGGGCGCCAGCAGCACCTTCCCCTGCGGCCGGAGGGGATGAGGAGTGGAAGGTTCTGGGCGTGCTGAGCGGGCGAGGAGGAGCGGGCAGAGTGAGTGCTTCCCTTGGGGCTCGGTGTGCAGCAACCCCCCTTCCCTTTGGCTTTCTGCTCCCTTCAGGCCTCTTGTGTTCGCTTCTGCCAGCTGGACTTTTCCATAACGTGCAAATTCCACTCTTCCATAACGTGCAAATCCCTCTCCCTCCGGGGCAGGGGGGTGGGGGCTGGTGGGAGGGGGCTGTGGGTGGGTGTGAGGTCTCTTTTGGGAGGAGATGCCTTGAGGTGGATGATCAGGAGTGCCCAGAGTGCTGGATATTGCAGTGGGACTTCGTGTTGTGGCACAGATCCCACCCTGGAGTGTTCACACTTCTCTAGGAATCAAAATTCCTATGGTGGGACTTGCCAGGGGGAGTTTCTTGCCTCTCCCAGCACCTGGATACCTGTCACAACCCCAAATCCAGCTGAGGGTGCTTTTGGACACCACCTCACCCTACCCAAATGTCTGTTTTATAGAAACAGAGCTCCTTTCTCTTAAAAACTGAGAGACTGAGACCTGCTTCTGCACTCCTGATGCCCGGAGTGGGGGTAAGACAGAGCTCCTGGGCTGCTCCCTGGCTGTGCCAGGCAGGTGAGAGCCCACTCACACCCAGGTGGGGCTCTGCAGTGTTTGATTTTTTTCTCTCTTAGCCCTGGAAGGTGCTTTGAGTAAATATTTGTCCCTTTTCTCTGCCTGTGGCGCTGGGGTTCTGGGAAAAGGGCTGCTTTTCTTCCCTCTTGCACTTGGGAATTGCTTGGCCTGGCCCAGCCCAGTCCTTCTGGGGGCCGAGCTCTCCGTGCTTGTGAAAGAGCCCCCGGGGAGGAGGCAGAGGGGTCCTGCCTTTCCAGACGGGATCACTTTGTGGTTCTTTGGTGGGATTCCGGGATTTATGGGATGGTTTTATGAGTTTGAACCCCAGTGTCTGACCTGCCTGCAGCTGGTGCTCTCCCAAGGTGTCACTGGAGTCCTGCTCAGGCTGTGTGGGAAGCAGCAGGATCCATCCTGGGCAGGCCATGGATTTGTGTTGAGCTTGGGATGCCTTCAGCAATTCCCATCTTTTCAGGCCTGTAACGCTCTGAGTGTAAAAACAAGTACACAGGGAGGTGGGATGTGAGGCTGTGTGGGGTTTGGGAAGGGAAAATCCCCTTTGCCACCACCTTTAATCCCACAGAATTCCCTTCTGCAGCCTCTCCCCCCCCCCTGCTTCACTGCACATTATCTGAGAACGTATTTCCAGCGCTGGGATGTTTTAGGGATTGTGTGCCTAAAAATAATAGTATGGAGCAGACAACAGTGGAAGGTCAAGGACTCAAAGGGGCTTAGAAACTGTGCCCTGGGGGCACCATGTGAGTATGGAGAACATGTGTTGAGGGGGGAGCAGCCTGAAAGCCCTGCAGTGCTTTCCCAAATTCCCTGCCCGTTGTTGTTCCAGTCCCACATGGGGATGGAACTCTTCGGGATTGTTCTTTGCCGTTTCCCTCCGTGGGCAGTGAAGCTGCTCCTCTCTTTGCCTCGGGGTCGGTGCCCACCACGAGCACATCGGATGCCACGGCGAGAGAGGAGTTTGCTGAGCAGCCATTTTGCCCTTTTCCCCCCCCAAAATCCTTGCAGAAATCCCACCCCTCCCCAGATCCCTGCAGAATCTCCTGGAAGCAAACACCCCGAACTGGCTGCAGCAGGTTTTGAGCTGTGCCCTGCGCTGGCAGCCCACACACAAGGTGCCCAGCATGGCAGCCCCCCCGCCGGGCCTCCTCACATTCAGACCCACCAGGGGCATCATTCCCATTGTTTGTAACATCTCTTGGAAAAATGAGTCATGGGCGTTGTGCCTGCCCTCAGCAGGGACACTCTGCCACATGAGCAGCAGCTCCGCCCGCCCCCCGCCGCCTCCTCCCAGTGCCCGCGGCCCCTTCCCGCTCCCAGCGCCACTGGTGTCACTGGAGCTGCTCCATCTCCCGCTTCCCTCTCCGGTGGTAGCCTGGGCTGTCCGTCAGGGGTGTGCCCTGATCCCCCTGGATGGAGCTCAGCCCAAGGTGTCGTCGCAAACTCCGCCGCCCAAAAGACGACCCCGACCCCGTTCTAGGAGGTTTTTATCCCTCCTGTGCCCAGTTTTCCCAGCACTTGCCTTTGGGCTGTGTTCCCACCCAGCAGTGTCACGGTGGGGAATGCTTTCAGGGCTTCTCCCACGATCCCAGTGTGTTTGTGGAGGGGCAGGCTGACATCCACTGCGGGATTTGGGGGGTAGATGTGGTAAAACGGACCCACGAGACAGATTCAGGCTTGGGCAGTTTATTTTACTCACCTGGGAGTATTTAATAAACCCAGGAGACCCAGGCCCTAGTCCAGGTTTTGCCTGGAAGATGACAGGACAAGGGGGAATTGTTCAAACTGAAAGAGGGAAAGGTTAGATGGGATATTGGGAAGAAATTCCTCCCTGGGAGGGTGGGGAGGCCCTGGCACAGGTTGCCCAGAGAAGCTGTGGCTGCCCCTGGATCCCTGGAAGTGTCCAAGGCCAGGTTGGACAGGGCTTGGAGCCGCCTGGGCTGGTGGAAGGTGTCCCTGCCCATGGCAGGGGGTGGCACTGGATGAGTTTAGCATCTCTTCCATGTGTTTGAGCTCAGGTACCAGGTTTGCAGGAGGGTTTCTTGCTGCAAGGGCCAGAGCTCCAAAATCAGACAGAGCTTTCCTGGCCCAGCCCTGCTTCTGGCTGCTGCTTTTCCCCGATTTTGCCTTATCTGCTGTTCCCCAGCCTCTTGTCTGCAGAATAGGAGCAATGTCTAATAGGCCCCGGGGGGGTGATGGCTGATGGAGTGGTTTGATGTCCTCAGCTGAGTGGAACAGTCTCTGGCTCTCCTGCTGCCAGACAAGCTGCTCTCTGAACAAACCCGAGTTTTCCAGGGATGTTTCTCTCCTTCCCTGTGCTCCCTGTTGGGTGGGTTAAGAGTTAAGGAGATTATTCAGGTGGTTTTCACCTTGTAAACTGAGCTGGCAGTAGCCTGGTGAGGGATCTCACAGGGCTGCCCAACCTTGGTTGGATTTTGTACATTAAGACACTATAAAATAGAGGGGAATTTTGTCCCAGACACCAAAGTCCCCCCACCAGGGACACCCAGCCTGGTTTGTGGCACCTGCAGAGCTGCCCTTTGTTACCCCACAGAGCACAGACCCCCCCCCTGGGCTGCTCTGAGGGTGTTGGGGGGCCAGGAGGGCCAAGGGGAGCCTGTTTTGGGGGAGGTGGGCTGGGATCTGGGGCTGCAGGGACCAGCATCCGCCCTCAGAGGGGCTTTGATGTCAGCTGGGGCCCGGCAGAGCCTCTGTAGCGCTGCCTCCTCCCCAGAGAGGGTGTTTGGGGCCCGTCCTTTATCGCTCATCAGCAGCACAGCCAATATTCATATCGAGGAAGTGAGATAAAATCAGAGCCCAAGGTGGGCTCCGAGCCGGGGGCACGAGTTTGGGGGGAGAGGGAAAGGGGGGCTGTGGTGGGAGCTCTTTATCAGAGAGGAAATTGCACTATTTGAGGGGGGAGAGCCGGTGTGTGTGTGTGTGTGTGTGTGTGTGTGTGTGTGTGTGTGCACCCACAGTTGTGTAAATAACGCTTTTTGGGAGCATGAAAGAGCTCCCAGCCAGGCTCCTGCCAGCCCTGCAGCACCTGGGGCAGGTTGGCATCTGTGTGTGCCCATGCTGGGGTCGGGCCCATCACTGCCACCTCCCCAGGCTGGTGGCTTGAGAGGA